CTTGTGTATCTTTTTTTTTTTTTTCTTTTTTGAGTCAGAGTTTCGCTCTAGTGTCCAGGCTGGAGTGCAGTGGCATGATACTGTCTTACTGCAACTTCCGCCTCCTGGGTTCAAACAATCTTCCTGCTTCAGCCTGCCTAGTAACTGGGACTAGAGGCATGTCCCGCCATGCCTGGCTAATTTTTTATTTTTATAGAGACAGGGTCTCACTATGTTGCCCAGGCTGGTCTTGAACTCCTGGATTGTGGCAATCTACCCATCCTGGCTGCACTAAGTGCTGGAATTACAAACGTGAGCCATTGTGGAGGCCAGTTTCTTGTGTATATTTTCAGGGATTTAAAAAATGCATATTCAGCAGGTATATTCAAGCTAATATTCCACCCTATGACCTTTTAAAATGCATATGGTAAACAATTCAAACACATTACACCAAACTTGTCCAACCCACGGCCCATGACAGCTTTGAATGTGGCCTAATACCAATTTGTAAACTTTCTTTCTTTTTTTTTCTTTTTTGAGATGGAGTTTCGCTCTTATTACCCAGGCTGGAGTGCAATGGTGCAATCTCGGCTCACCACAACCTCCGCCTCCTGGGTTCAGGCAATTCTCCTGCCTCAGCTGCCTGAGTAGCTGGGATTACAGGCATGCTCCACCATGCCCAGCTAATTTTTTTTTATTTTTAGTAGAGACGGGGTTTCACCATGTTGACCATGATGGTCTCGATCTCTTGACCTCGTGATCCACCCGCCTCGGCCTCCCAAAGTGCTGGGATTACAGGCTTGAGCCACCGTGCCCGGCCTAATTTGTAAACTTTCATAAAACATTTTGAGATTTTTTTTCGATTTTTTTTTTTTAAAGCTCATCAGCTATCATTAATGTTAGTGTATTTTATGTGTGGCCCAAGAGAATTCTTCTTCCACTGTGGCCCAAGGAAGCCAAAGGATTGGAGACCCCTGCTCTATATTTTGATTTTCCCCCAACCATCTATCTTGGAGATCTTTCTGTATTAGGCATATATGGGTGTCCTCATTCTTCTTTGCATCAGCATAGTATTCTATTACATGAATGCATTATAACTTTTCAACCTGTCCCCTAACGAACTTCTAGGCTATTTCCTGTATTTTATTATTTCAAGCAATAAGCATTCTTTAAAATGAGCTGTTCTTTAAAATCATACCAATTAGCACAAATTCCCCAATGTCACTTCAGCGCAGGAATAAAGTTTCAAATTATTTATGGGACTTGTTTTAAGGCTACAAATGGTGTCAGAGCCCAAATCTGAAGGAACCACCAGAGTCAAAAAGATATTTGGCCCCTGCAGTGCTGGGAGAAAGAGAGGTTACAGGATCAGAGCAGGGCTTGGACCTCTCAAGTTTATCATCAGTATAGAGGAAGAGATACCGTCCTTTTATACTAGGCCAAAATCTGATAATCACTTTTCTTTTCTCATCTGTTTAGTGATCTCTTTTTCTTGGGGAATAATTCCTTTTCCACTTTATTGCATACTTCTGGTGGAATTAGCAGTTGGTCTGATACTGAGGTCATTATGTGACCTCAGTCACAGAGGCCCAGCCTATGATTGGACCAAGGTGACACATGACCCAAATTGGGCCACTCAGAATCTCCCTTGGGATTTTTGAGAGTGGAGCCTTGTTTCTTGGGCCAATATGCTGTGATATCAACTGGAGGTGGCCAGAGCCCATGTTTCCCACCAAAGAGAGAAAGCCCATCTTCAGCAGGAGAAAAGGAGAGCAACACAGGGAAGGAAGCTGAAAGTACTTCTTCAAAGGATTGCTGTGAGGATTAGTGATAAAGTACATGCTGAGCACTGACCTCAGTGCCCAACACATAGTAAGCATTCCATAAATGTGACTGCCATCACCATCACTGCCATCTCCAACACTGGGAGGAAACTGCACCAGTCTGGGGTGGGGAAGGGCTGTGATTCCCCCAGTTTGAGGGAATGTCACCTGCACGGTCTTGGGATTAAGGTGTCCTCTGGTCCCCTACATCAACATGTGCCTCTCCTCCCACTGTCCTGAGTAGACAACCCAGTTACTCGTCTTTCATTCCCCCTCAAAAGCAGACTCAGTGCAGGGCAGGCTGTGTCCCCCATACCTAACAAAGGACATGGCACATGGAAGGAGCCCAACCAGTATTTCTTGAGAGTTTGCAGACAGTGAGGAGAGCTGCCTTGTGTTTTCTTATTGGCTTACCCATTAGATTAAATTTTAGTATCTGAAAAGCATTCCATTTTGGAGAAGTCACATCCTGACATTGGAGGTCCAATCCGGGCAAAGGCCCAGACAGAGAGAACGACAGGCAGAGGCTGGCTGGGAGGGTGTGTGCAGAGAAGGGCGGGGGAAATGTGTGAATGGCAGTCTAGGACACCTGAACTCAATGCATGACAGGCCACCAAAGAGAGGCTTGGGATCAGTGCTGTGCTTCACAAAAATAACACTAGTTCACGATGGCAAGACCTTCCAGAATGATGCCGAACACACTCAGTGAGGGGGCAAGTTCACAGGTACAGGTACAAGGGTCAGTGCTGGTATAAATTAAAATGAGCATGGATAATATTTAACACGAGACTTAGTCTGGTTCTGTCACTGGGTCTGGGGCAGCTGCAGCCATTCTCACTCATGCCACGTATCAACTGACCCACCTGTAAGGCAGTCTCAAAGAGAAGCCAAAAAACCCTTTTTAAATCTACAAAAACATATGTCTTTTAGCACTGTCTATGTTTAGATACATTCATCAACATGTGACAGTAACAGTAAACATTGGTAGCATTATACAAGGATATACAAAATCACTATTGGGAGGCTTGTCTTCAATTTTGAATAAAATTCCTTTCTGCCACAATGTAGATACTCCCAGATACTATTTTTCTCAGGTTGTGGTACTGCATTATTCTTTCCTGCAGCTGACAGCAAAAACCACCACCCCTGCTTGGCAGGCCCTTTTGGAGGCTGGAGGCCAGTGGCAAGGGGCACTGTTGCCTCTACTGACCTGATTAACCATCTGGTGCTGCTGGACAGTTCTCTTCTCCTTAAATTCTTCTGATTCAATTTTAATTTCATACATCGCCCCACAACCTCCTAAAATAAACACGATTCAAAAGCATTTCAATTATTAAGTCATGGCAGCCATGGTCCCATATGTCCTTGATGTACTCTACAGTCCAAAGGACTGAGTATCATTCAGCACAAAGGAAAGTTGCTAAGACCATTAGGAAAAGATCATGGCTTCCAATCTGACCACATGCTCCTCCAGACAGGCTGCCACAATCCAAAATGCGCTCTTCCTTTTGCGAGGCAGCTGCACTACCCAGGGCTATCACTTGTGGGAAGGAAAGATAAGGCACAAAGCATGGACAACCTAGGGAATGTAGAGGGTTTCCTTTTACTAGGCCAATAAACACCACGGAAGAGGATGAGAAGAATGGAATTTTAGTGTTCCACCTTCCAAAGGACCAACAATCAGTATTTTAAAAGTGCGAAAATACACTAAAATTTGGTTTGAAAACTGTGTAATACTATCCAAAGAAAAGAAGGGACCAGGGGCTCACGCCTGTAATCCTAGCACTTTGGGAGGCCAAGGCAGGTGGATCACAAGGTTAGGAGTTCGAGACCAGCCTCAACAACATGGTGAAACCCCCTCTCTACTAAAACTACAAAAATAGCAGGATGTGGTGGCAAGTGCCTGCAATCCCAGCTACTTGAGAAGCTAAGGCAGGAGAACTGCTTGAACCCAGGAGGTGGAAGCTGCAGTGAGCTGAGATCGCACCACTGCCCTCCCTCCAGCCTGGGCAACAGAGTGAGACCCTGTCTCCCGAAAAAAAAAAAAAAAGAGAATCAGGGGAGCTCCAGAGCCGGGACATAGCAACATGTCATGCATTGAGCTGCTCAGGGATGTCTCTGGCACTGCAGAGTCCGCAGTGCAACATCCAGGGTTTCGTTTTGGGTTTTGGGGGAGAGCTTTTTGGTGAAGCCCTTGAGGCAGAGCTTGGTGGGCCACCCACCCCCTGCCTGAGCCTTGCCTCCACCTGGTAGAGAGCTAGTGCTGACGAGTGATGATAAATGCACAGCTCTAGCATGAAATAACATGGGCAAGAAAATGGTCTCTGCACTATTAACCCAGCCAGGCCACTGCATGACAGGTGCAATGTACTCAACAGGCTTTGTTCTGCTTCTCTTATAATGTGCTCTAGGAGTCCAAGTTTTGGTTAAACCCAGCTTCTCAGCCTCCCCTTCGGCACTCTGTCTAGGACTACACAGAGCCAGGGGCAAGTTCAGGACCTGGTAACATCAAGGCCTCGGCATTGCCCCGGGACCCCTGCAGAGCCCTCACCTGATGTACCATTCCAGCAGATCCTTTTTTTGTTTTTTTGAGATGGAGTTTCACCCTTGTTGCCTAGGCTGGAGTGCAGTGGCGCAATTTTGGCTCACTGCAACTTCTGCCTCCCAGATTCAAACAATGTTCTTGCCTCAGCTTCCCAAGTAGCTGGGATTACAGGCACTCACCACCACACCTGACTAAATTTTTTTTGTATTTTTAGTAGAGACAGGATTTCACCATGTTGGCCAGGCTGGTCTCGAACTCCTGACCTCAGGTGATCCTCCTGCCTCAGTCTCCCAAATGGCTGGAATTACAGGCATGAGCCACTGCGCCTGGCCCCAGCAGATCTTTTTTCTTTCTTTTTTTTGAGACAGAGTCTTACTGTCATGCAGGCTGGTGGGCAGTGGTGCAATCTTGGCTCACCATAACTTCCGCCTCCTGGGTTCAAGCAATTCTCCTGCCTCAGCCTCCCAAGTAGCTGGGACTATAGGCACACGGCACCACACCTGGCTAATTTTTGTATTTTCAGTAGAGACAGGGTTTCACCTTCTTGGCCAGGCTGGTCTTGAACTCCTTACCTCGTGATCCACCTGCCTCAGCCTCCCAAAGTGCTGGGATTACAAGAGTGAGCCACCAAGCCAAAACCCCAGGAAATTTTTAGTTTGTTTTATTTCCTGTAGTTTCCAGAATAAAATCTACTTTCTAAACTATTTCCCCAATCCTTGGAAATGTTATGTTCTCAGTAAAGTCAGTGAGCCCTTGTGGCAATGCTGAGTGGCAAAGCCTGCCTCTGGGTGTGAAGAGATTCAGGCTGATGCCTATCCAGCAGCCCACGCCAGGCACCGTTCTGTGTATGCATGTGTGTGTGGATAAAGGGCCTATCTTCCCCATCCTGTGGGTGCAGAAGTTGCTCCTCCAGCCTGCTCCTAACACACTGCCAGCCTGAACTTCTAGGTGCCAGTGGTTGCCTGAGAAGGACAGAGCCTGGCTGGGGCTGGTAACTGGGCTTAGGACAGAATCTGCCCTGAGTCCCGGTTCTGGTTTCAATTCCACTGTCTCTTCCCTTTGAGGAGCTGGGCAGGTCCTTTGGCCTCTCTGGGCTTGTTTCCTCTTCGGGAAAATGAGGCAGTTGCACAAAACCCTTCTGGGGTCTACTCCAGCTCTGACATCCTAGGGTATCAGAAGAATGGGGGAAAATTAAAGGAAAACCTATTAAAGTCAAATGACAGACTGTGAAGCTGAGCTTTGGGGTGACTGAGAGGGACTTTGTCTGAGCTGAGCCAAGCTGGCAACCTTGAGGCCTCCCAGCTGTGCCTTGTCCAATTTCCCTATGATGTTTCTGAATCCTGACTGCCATCTCGACAGGTGGGGGCGGCCGAGCTCCATCTGTCCAGCAGCAACACAGCTTGAGAAGCTACTCACCAGCAGTAAGTCCCCTCCTCCAAGCCCCTAGCCCTCTGTCCTTCCAAAGGGCAATATCTTATCAAAGTGCCGTGGGAAGGGTGAGAGAAAACCTTACCTGAAATGTCAGTGACTTTGATGACTGTAGCTCGAGGAAAGTTTTCTTTGAGAATTTGGGTCACTCTGAGCTCCCCCTCAGTCTGGGAGGCAAACATCCGACGGACACAATGAAGTGGAAGCTGCCACGGAACAAAGAGGAGGGTCAGGACAGAGGGAGATGCTGCTGCCCCCGAGCTGGGCCACCGTGCAGGCCCCTGCTAGCCATTCCCCTGTAAGGAGGCCCCTAAGCCCTCGCCAGCACTGTCACGGGTTAATTCAGAGGGGCTCTGTGGGATTAGGAGTCCATGTAAGCCCTCCAGAACACAGAATAAACTTTTAATGGCAGGGAAAGGATGATTTTTTTTTTTTTTTTTTTTTGAGATGGAGTCTCACTCTATTGCCGAGGCTGGAGTGCCGTGGCCCAATCTCAGCTCACTGCAACCTCCGCCTCCCAGGTTCAAGCGATTCTTCTGCTTCAGCCTCCTGAGTAGCTGGGATTACAGGCACACACCATCACACCCAGCTAATTTTTCTATTTTTAGTAGAGACAATTTTCATCATGTTGGTCAGGCTGGCTTTGAACTCCTGACCTTGTAATCTGCCCGCCTCTGCCTCCCAAAGTGCTGAGATTACTGGCATGAGCCACCACACCCAGCCTAGGATGACTGTTAATAACTCAATTTGACTCCAGAGACAGGAGGCCCCAAACCTAATTCAAGAGATGCTTGATTCCTCATAATGTCATGTGACGCTATTATGCTGATAGTTTTATAGGTAAGGAAACTGAGGCACACAGTAATGTACCCAAGGTTGAACTGGTTAAGAAGATGCAAAGCCAGAAGAGAAGCTGGACAGCCTGCCTCAGATCCATCCCACCAGGCCATCTGGCATCCCTGGATGGTGAGGCCAAATTCCACACCCCCGCTTTAGGCCAGATTAATATGTCTCGCTCTCCCCAGTGGGATGTGACCTCACAACCCAATGCTCAATAAGCCAGCTATCCTTCATCATGCGCTCATTCTCACTGAGGAGCAGTGGCAGAATTCTATGAAAGGACCTGAAGAAGGAACAAGGAGTTTCTGTAGGTTGTTTACCACTGGCGTCAACATCCCTTCCCCAATGGCTACCACAGGGAGTCTGTGTTTCCTTTTTTCTTTTCTTTCTTTCTTTCTTTTTTTTTTTTTGAGACAGAGTTTTGCTCTGTTACCCAGGCTGGAGGGCAGTGGCACAATCTCGGCTCACTGCAACCTCTGCCTCCTGGGTTCAAGCTATTCTCCTGCCCCAGCCTCCTGAGTAGCTGGGATTACAGGCGCCTACCACCAAGCTCAGCAAATTTTGTATTTTTGGTAGAGACGAGGTTTCACATGTTGACCAGGCTGGTCTCAAACCCCTGACCTCAGGTGATCCACCCACCTCGACCTCCCAAAGTGCTGGTATTATAGGCGTGAGCTACCTACCGCGTCCAACCCGGGGAGCCTGTTTCTGATGGAACATGTGTCACCATTTAGGAGTAAAGGAGCAGAAAACTGGTTGGCAGTCACTTGACTGGGCTGAGCGCATGCTGAAACGGCAGACTGGGAATGGAGTGTGGCAGGTCTTGAATGCCAGGCTAAAGATTGTGGACTGTGTCAGACAGGTGATGTGGCTCCAGGTGATGGAACCCAGGCTCATGGTACCAAAGTAACCTGCAGGAAATGGTGCCTTCTGGAGCGAGTCAGAAAGAGGCATTACAGTGGAGGAACTCCCGGGTGCTGGTCCCTGACTAGGCATGGATGACAGGTGGGAGGACACTAGGGCCGTTCATGGGTGCTGGTGCTGAAGGTCCCACCCCTTTACCCCTCAGTCCTTCCCGATAGCTCAGAGCAAGGTCCTGTGTCACAGAACTCAGAGCACCTCCTTTAAAACGAGCTGTGCACTGGCTCTCTCACCACTGGTCTTATAGACCAGGACTGAGTAGGGCAGCAACCCAGAGCTGACCCCAGGGCTGGCCCTCAGAGGCACTTGGTGTTAGATAAATGAATGAGCAGGGGAAGAACTACTCAGGGACAATTCTACGGGGCCCCAGCAGAGAATTCTGACAGGCAGTTGAAACGCACGTCAGGAGAAAGGTCCAGCGTGTGATTGTCTGCCTGCTGTATGGAGGGACAGAACCTCAATGTTGAGAGACTGGACAGAATTGCTGGGGGTGGGGGTGGGGTGGAGCTGCTTCTGGGGGCAGAATCTAGGGGGAAAAGGCAGAGAGTAACCAGATGGCAGGCAGAATCGGCAGCCACTAAGGGGTGAGAGTGGTGAGTGTTGCAGAATTCTTGGGAGAAGGCTCTCTTTCATCTTAGCAGATCTGTGGTCAGCGGCCTTTAGTGGAATAATCAACTGACATCCCCAGATCATCACTGACCACGCTCAAAGTCACCACAGTGGAAGAACTCTTCATGCACGGGCGAGGCAGGTACAGGACCAGGGGAGACGGAAAATGAAAAGAAAGAGAAAGAAGTGTATAAACCGAAGCAAAGGATGAATCAGAAAGTGGGAGAAATTAGGAGAGCGCGTGGGAAGTGTCCCCAGCTTGGGTTCTGCTCCGGTAGTGTGGGATCTGGAGAGGACCAAGGTCAGAGGCCCAGTCGATCTTCCCAAGGCCCCGGCTCCTCTGCAGTCCCCTGCACCCACGCTTGACTTCGGGCTATGACTTCTCTCTTCCACTCCGCAAATCATCTTTTTTTCCCCCTTGTGCCCGCTGTATTATGACTGTTTATGTGTCTGTCCGGCTGACCTCCAAACTCCACCCAGCTTGGGAGCTCCCCCAGAGCGCTCCGGAGCTTGAAATTTCGAATGCCGAACTCGCTGAGTGAATGAATGAATGAATGAATGAGTGAAAGGAAGAGGAAGCCCCCAGTGCCGGTGCCGCGCGCGCCCCTCAAGCCCCGACAGCTGCCGGCCCCACGTCCCTCCACAGCTCCCGTCTCGGGGAGAGCAGCCTCGACCCAGCCCGCGCTCACCCCGCGGATCCCGCGGAGCAGAGGTGCTGCCGCAGCTGGGCTCCATGCCGCCATGCCCGGCTGACGCGACCCGCCGCCCGAGGTCACTATATGCCAGAGAGATGCGGAGCGGTAGACCGAGAGCAGCCGCCGTGGGAGAGGCCGCCCCCTGCCGCCCGGAGGCCGCCAGCCTCCCGGGGCCCCGCCCCAGTTCTCAAGGCCCCGCCCCGGAGGCCTCCGGCCGCCAGGCTCAGTCCCGGGAGGCTGCCGGACGCCGGGCCCCACCTCCGCCTCCCCCGGCTGACTCCACCCCTGACACTGCAGCGCCAGCCGGCCTCGGGACACGCCCTCTGCCTGGGCTCGCCCCGCGCTCCTCCAGCCTCCCCAGGGCCTGTTTAACGGATAGTGTTCCCTTGCCCGCGTGAAAACCTCTTTCCTCCTCAGCTCAGAAACACTCCAAGGTCTTGGCGCCCGATACGAGCCTTCCCTCATCCGAATACCTCTAGTGCCCCTGATGCACTTTTCCATTCCCACTCCCCACGTCGGCAGCCTAGCTTGTAACTGAGAGCTTGGCCTTCGCTCCTGGTGTGGGGACTCGTGAAGGATTCGATTCGCGCTTTAGAAAGATCGCTCTGCTCCTGTGAGGAGGAGGAGGGCGTGTAGGAACTGCACCGGAGACACGGTCAGAAGCTCCGAGGCTACCGCGATGGTCCAGGTGAGAACGGAGGGGGCTGAACTAAACCAGGGGAAGGAGGAATGGAAGAGTGAACTGAGACACTTGGGAAGTGAATAGAATCGAGCGACTGCAGGTTGGGGTGAGGGTGGGGAAGGTATCTGAGATGACTGCTGTTTCTGGCTTGGACAATGACTTGGATGGAGGGTTAGTTGGGGGCTAAGCAGAGTCTTCGAACAGTTTTGAATTTGCCTGAGTTTAAGGTGCCACAGGACACAGCCTAACAAAGGCCCAGGTTGGAGCCATAGACCATGGACCATGAGAATGGAACGGAAGCTGACGCCATGTGGGATGGGGTAGAACTGTCAGCAAATTGACCTCTCCTCTGGAGTCCTCAGACCAGTCAAGGCAGAAATTCAACCAGGCTCCTCCTCTCTCTAGCTGTATTTGTTTGTGCACGTGGTCTGATGGCACCCTGCAGGATTTACCAGCTTTTGGCCAATATTCTGGCCTATGCAATCAATACATCCCTTCGGCGTTGCACTTGGATGGAGTGGACCTATAGTTGTTCTATATGGATGTTGTCTAAAATATTTATTACAATATTAACTGACTCCTAGGTTCTGGCCTTAAGAATTTCTCCTTTGGATCAATTACTAGCCTGTCTTACATTTTCCACTTCCTTTCTTTAAAATGTTTAGAGATGATTTGCTAACCTCTAAGTTTTCTTCATTGAGTCAATGATGCAATTAAAACTGTCAAAAAAAATTTTTTTTCAAGCAGGGTAATAGTGGTGAACCATTCCCTTGCTATTCAAACAGCATGGTTTAGATGAGGCATATCTATTCCCAGTTTTAGGAGTGGAAATAGAACCCAAGTCTGGCTAATCAGAGATTGGCTTAGGGTTGGCCACATGATCTGAGCCAAACCAATAAGAGTTAGTATAGGGACTTTTCTGGAACTAAAGAAATGGATCCTGGCCAGGTGTGGTGGCTCACGCCTTTAATTCCGGCACTTGGGGAGGCCGAGGCGGGCGATCATCTGAGGTCAGGAGTTCAAGACCAGCCTGACCAACACGGAGAAACCCCATCTCATCTAAAAATACAAAATTAGCTGTACGTGGTGGTGCATGCCTGTAATCCCAGCTACTCGGGAAGCTGAGGCAGGAGAATCGCTTGAACCCGGGAGGCAGAGGTTGCAGTGAGCCAAGATCGCACCATTGCACTCCAGCCTGGGTGACAGACAGCCTTTTGCAACTTTTATTTTAGAATCAGAGGGAATATATGCAGGCTTGTTACAGAGGTATATTGCATGGTGCTGAGGTTTGGAGTATGAATGAATCCGTCCTTCAGGTATGAATCCGTCCTTCAGGTAATGAACATAGTACCCAATAGGTAGTTTAAACCCTTGCCCCTTTTCTTCCTTCCTCCCTCTTGTATTCCCCAGTGTCTATAGTTCCCAGACGTTGATCTTTTTCTGGTGTGCTGCTAAGCTGGTAGAAAGGCTGAGTTGCTGGCAACCATCTTTGCAACAAAGCAGGCAGAGCTACTTTGGAAATGAAGCAAGACAAAGAAGAAAACAGATAAATGGAGACAAATGTTTGCCTTTGTTTGTACAGCTGGAAACCAGCAGTGCTGGAAATGAGCACTAAACCCAGTTTTTAATTGGGTTTCTCACTTGTAACCAAATGAGGTTAAACAAAGCTTACAGATTTGTATTGGTAGAATTCTTCCTTTTATTTAAAATGGTACTTTTGGCCAGGCAAGGTGGCTTATACCTGTAATCCAAGCACTCTGGGAGGCCAAGGCAGGCAAATCACCTGAGGTCAGGAGTTCAGAAACAGCCTGGCTAACATGGTGAAACCCCGTCTCTACTCAAAACTACAAACCATTAGCGCCCCATAGCGGCCTACCAGGTTTTTGTCTCCAAAAAAAAAAAGGGGGGGGGTACTTCCGCTTATCTCTAATCTTCCATTTCCCCATAATTTGGCAACTGCCCCACACTATGTTACTCTGAGTTACTCTCTGCCCCATTTTCCTCCCATCCTGTTTCCCCTAGGCTGTCAGAGCCATCTGAAGTGAAAACATTTAGGCAGGGCATGATGACTCATGCCTGCAATCCCAGCACTTTGGGAGGCCAAGGCAGGCAGATCACCTGAGGTCAGGAGTTCGAGACCAGCCTGGCCACATGGTGAAACACCATCCTACTAAAAATACAAAAATTAGCCGGGTGTGGTGGCATGTGCTTCTACTCCCCAGCTACTAAGGAGGCTGAAGCAGGAGAATCACTTGAACCTGGGAGGTGGGTGCTGCAGTGAGCTACTGAGCCACTGCACTCCAGCCTGGGCAACAGAGTGAGACTCTGTCTCAAAAATGAATAAATGAAATGAAAACATTTACTACTTGAAATCCTTCAGACACCCCATCACCTACAGTTCTTTTTTATGATTTAACCACTATCTACCTGCCCAAATGAAATCTATCCTTCAGTAATGTTATACCTGCATCTCCCTGTATAAGCTATGCTACAAGTTTGGTTATGCAGTTGCCCACTTTTTAATGCCCAACTTTTAAGGTTCAAGCCTTGTCTTCTCCCAAGGAGCCACCTCTGACTGCCTCACAATAAGCTTAGGACCTGCAAGTTACCTGTAACTTTTGTTGCACTTACGGCCCTTTACAACTATCAATCAATTTATGTATGTGTCTGTTCCCACTGGTCTATAAGCTCCATGAGGACAGAGCCTTACTTGAGTCATCTGTCAACAGCCCAATATGGGACAAAAAGTGCATGCACCGTTATTACTGAACAGAACTGATAGAGGCTCAGCAATTTGCCCTCCACAGGTCTAAATTTGAAACTTTCTAGAAAAGGATTTGCAGGACAATCTGACCAATCTTGGGCTTCCAAATTAGTTCCAACAGTTCCAGTATTATTACTTTTTTTTGGCAGAAACAAATAAAAGGTAAGTTTTACTTAATGATTAAAATAAAAGTGAAATGCAATTAGTCCCAGGAAATGAGTCAAAGCTTTCTGCATCTTACTTTTTTTGCTGTGACCTTGAGATTCTCTTAAGTTGTATTGGTTCATGATCACTCATAGCTTTCATACATATATTAAATTTGGGCCAACTCAGAAAATTCATTAGGTAGGAACTCTTTGGATGCACCTCCTTTTCTAACCTCATTAGGATAATTTTTCATCTTATCAGCATTTTATTTTATAGAGCTTCCTAGCACTGTTGAGCATGCAGAATTTTTGCAAATGCTATCCAGAGAAACAGAGGCCTGACTTGCTATGTACTATTTGAACTTGTCGGAGCTTTTGTGGCGTGGTCTAAAGAATACTGAAATATTTCTGGCATATCTCTTAATTGCAATCACTTTTCCCAGGTTGCTTTATGGGTTAAATGAGATATCCTACTAAAGGACTCCTGTAAAAAGCAAAAAGGTAGCTAGTTTTTGAGAGGTGCCATGGCAGAGACTGGCATCTAGTGGCCAGCGATAATGGTGCAGGCTAGTGTCCACACCTAAGTGGGGATGGTACAGGCTGTAGTGTCCATACCTAGTAGGGACATCAATGGGGTATTTGTTAGAGAAGGTCCATGGCATAGTTTGGACACTGTTTCTGGCTGTGCAGGCTGGAACCCAGAGTCTGGCTCTCCCAAAGATTAAGCTTATCCTTTTTATGATCAATTTTAGGCCTACTGAAAATGTCAAAAGAAATACAAAACTGATTGCTAGTTTACTCATAGCTTATACAAAATTAGTATTAACTAGGCTGGGTGTGGTAGTTTATGCCTGTAATCCCAGCACTTTGGGAGACTGGGATGGGCAGACTGCTTGCGCTCAGGAGTTCGAGACCAACCTGGGCAACACGGCAAAACCCCATCTTTACAAAAAATAAAAAAAAATTAGCTGGGCATGATGGTGCATGCCTGTTGTCCCAGCTACTCAGAAGGCTGGGGCAGGAAGATCACTTGAGCCTAGGAGGTGGAGGTTGCAGTGAGCCAACATTGTGCCACTGCACTCCCAACTTGGGCAACAAAGACTCTGTCTCAAAAAATTAAAATGATTGTTAACTTGTACTGTTTAGCCACATTCATTAAGTTTTTAATTTTAACTCTACCATCTCAGAACCAGGAATGTACAAAGAGATCTGGAGCATGGCTGGGCATAGTGGCTCACGCCTGTAATCCAAGCACTTTGGAGGCCAAGGCGGGTATATCACCTGAGGATGGGAGTTCAAGACCAGCCTGACCAACATGGTGAAAACCTGTCTTAAATTAAAAAAAAAAAAAAAAAAAAAAAAAGAGAGAGAGAGAGAGAGATCTGGAGCCTGATTTGCATGGCAGGAAGGAGACCATGTATTTTTGTCTGGGATAGGTTTTAGCCACTATCAGAGGCATAGTTTGTTTCTCAGGTGTTCGGTCCTAGTAAATTCCATTTTTAAGGGCCAAGAAAACATTTTAGCCACTAAATGATATGCAAAGGTAACTTTCCAAATTTAAGCTGTACTCAAAAAATCCACAGAACCTGCAAAACTCTCAAGCTTCTATATTTAAACAGAAATAAGTGTGTTGATAGACATACTTTAATCAGTCATGTCTTGCTTTCAATATATTTTATTCTGATGAAGTTACAAAAGTAGATACAAAATATTTTTTAAAAAAGTACAGTTAACGGACTTAGAAAAATAGATAAAGCCCCTAAGGATTTTAAAGTACAACATAAATTTTTATGTAAAGAACATTTAAAAATATTTTAGATGGTAACCAAAACTAACTTTTATGCAAACTATTTTTGATGTAGAATAGAATGTTGTTCTTAATAATGTCTATAGCACACTGGTAATCCATTTGGACCTACAGAATACTTGTTTGGAATAGAATCTGATAATTAGAGAAAACCCAAATGAATGTCAATGCAGTTGCTTAAAAAAAAATTACTGCTACAACATATACTGTCATCGCCCCAAGGCCTTTTACAGTCTGAAATATCAAAACTGAAAGCAAAAATAGGATGACCTAAGGACTACTATTTTACCTCTTTGCCAGAATTCTACAATAGTAGAAACCGAATTCACTTAACTGATCTCAGGTGGAAATAATGTGCCTGCTGAAGGTGCTCAGCGTTTGGTGTCCAGGCTGGCATTTTTCAGGTGAGGCTTTGTTGTCGACAGGAGGCAGGCTCCTGCAACAAGGCAGCGGCCGCACCAGCGCCATGACTAGGGCTGCTTAAAAATAAATTTTCGCCGGGCGCGGTGGCTCAAGCCTGTAATCCCAGCACTTTGGGAGGCCGAGGCGGGTGGATCACGAGGTCGAGAGATCGAGACCATCCTGGTCAACATGGTGAAACCCCGTCTCTACTAAAAATACAAAAAACTAGCTGGGCGTGGTGGCGCGTGCCTGTAATCCCAGCTCCTCAGGAGGCTGAGGCAGGAGAATTGCCTGAACCCAGGAGGCAGAGGTTGCGGTGAGCCGAGATCGCGCCATTGCACTCCAGCCTGGGTAACAAGAGCGAAACTCCGTCTCAAAAAAAAAAATAAAAAATAAAAAATAAAAATTTTCTAGGACTTATGCTCCTTGGGCCTGATTTATTAATGCTTATGAGGTAATGATACTATGTTTGAGAAGCTGTACTTCTAGTACAACCTCAATGCTCAGACAGAAGGCCAACAATACAATCGGAAAATCCTAATATTGGCAAAACTTAATATTACCGCCAAGATTGTTCCTCTTACCCCTGCACTACTAGGAAAACTTTACCTTTGTTACCTACATCATGGTGAATACAGATTTTGGATTTCTCATGTAAGCAGCTGTATGAGCTAGGGTTCTACAAGCCTTAGATGAAAGGAAATACTTTGTTTGCTGGAAGTCCTGTAAAATCACTTTATTCACAATCTGAAGAATGAAAGACACATTTGGCTGTCAATACAAAAACTGTAGTACAAGGAAGTTCAACTAAAAAATCTGTACATCACTGTCCAAGTTTTTTTTTGAAGGCCTGAAAATTAAAGCACCATCGGATTAACTGCATAATTTAGCAAGCACTCTTCACCCTGCGACTGTAATCATGTATGAAGAACAGAGATCAGACACTGAAGAGATGACTTCTGATTAGCCAGGGGGAAGGGAGTGAGTGTTATGGAACAGATAAACCTTGGGCATGGGGAGATAAAAGTGAGAAGAGTCAAAAAGATTGATTTCTTCAAATTGTTATCAAAGGTTGGCCCTCTAGCCAAGTCAAGAAGGGGCCATCCTCTTCTCATTATCTCCCTTTCCTCCAATTCTCCTCCCCACCTTGGCTCCCTAGCCTTGGAGTTAAACACTAATATTTAGGTGTACTGTTGGTTAAGCCAGATTGACTTGGGAACCTGGTAATGTTTTTCTTTTTATTTTTAAAAAGGACAGTCTGAGTATCAAAATACCAATGCATCTCTGATTTATGTCCTATTTATAAGCTGCCTTTACTACTGTCCTGACGTGATCGTCTTTCATTTGCTTTGGGGCTTAGAAAATAAGTGGAGAAAAGTGATAACTTTTTTTTGTTTGATAATATTTGAAATATTAGAAATAATGAGGAATGTATAAGCCGAGCTGAGAAAGTAGTTTCGTCACTTGTGGACTTAAAAAAGTAAAGCCAACAGGGTTTAAAGTTGAGAGGCAGTTCACAGCCTAAGTGACATCTAGAAACCTGCTTTCTTGTTTGCAAATGATCAACATGAACATACAAAATGGCTGACATTTGGACCTTTGGATAAGCTTAAAACATGGATTGTGGAATGTCTAATAGAGGGCTTTTCTCTCTTTTTTTTCATAATGACTGTCCCACAGTTTAATTCCTCAATGACATGTGGATGCTACCTAAATCAGATGAAATATTCTATTTCCTTTAAAATTCTGTATATATTTAAGAATTTATAGAAAATGATTATTTAGCTGGGCGCGGTGGCTCAAGCCTGTAATCCCAGCACTTTGGGAGGCTGAGGCGGGTGGATCACGAGGTCGAGAGATCGAGACCATCCTGGTCAACAAGGTGAAACCCCGTCTCTACTAAAAATACAAAAAATTAGCTGGGCATGGTGGTGTGTGCCTGTAATCCCAGCTACTCAGGAGGCTGAGGCAGGAGAATTGCTTGAACCCAGGAGGCGGAGGTTGCGGTGAGCCGAGATCGCGCCATTGCACTCCAGCCTGGGTAACAAGAGCAAAACTCCGTCTCCAAAAAAAAAAAAAAAAAAATGATTATTTAAAATGGAGTTTCTAAGTAATTATTTTCTTTATAGTTTAGTGGAATAAGAAAAAAATATTCAAAAAAAACCCCATCAAATCTAACCTTTATCAAAGCCATCAAGGAGGTTAGTAAAGTACTTTGCCAAAACCACAGCTCTGAACCGCATAGAATGCTGACGACCTTAAAGCTTTGCCAGTTTGGCAAGTCTTCCAGTATAAGAACTGTTGTGCCTCAGTACATTTTAAATAGACTGCTAGAGTTTACTATATCCTAGGAACCAAATAAAAAATAAATGTTTTCTTCACTTAAGGGGAAGGTTTTTATATCCCAATAGAAACAGGAATTTCAAGTTTTGATACAAAAACAATTAAGATAAAACCCAAGTGGGAGCTCAGTCCATCTTTTGAATATTAACAGAATGAGGAATTTTTTAAACTTATTTCTCCCATTTTGTCTCTTTAAACACATACACTCACTCACTCTCTCAAGAATAGGTAGCACACCAAAACTTTAGCTGTGTTGTAAGATGTGTACACCTTCACGGTTTATTGTGGTTTTCCTTAAGGTTTATCCTCATTAGAATAAAGTTCATGCATTTCTACACTATTCTTCACTAAGGCTCAAGACACAATAAAAACATAGAAGTAATTTTTTTAATAAAAGGAAATAAAATAATCAAGTACTCGGAGTATTTTCCTCCATTCTCTTATTCAGAATTTCAAGGCCTCTAAAAAATAATGATATAATAAAAATAGTGGTTTTGAGATCTAAATTTGTTATAATATTTTGGATTCCTTTTCTCAGCCAAAAGCTACTATTTGAATGAAGCTTTTCAGACTACAAGCCTGGAAGACCATCCTTAGAAGACATAAAAAAATTACTTCTGATATACACACTCCTAATAATTTAGACAGATGTGAAAACAATTCCAAATAAGATCAAAAAATAAAGTCCCTGTAAAAATAACTTTGGTTGCTCCCACCCACACATGCCATATGATGATTTAAACTGCAATCATGAATTTTGAAAAAATATACGTATCTTATCTATAAAAACACTACCATACAAACTTGAAACTAAAATGTTATCTGAAGTGACACACATGTTCTAAATCTCAAGGATACTTAAAAATACATTTTTTATTTGTAAAATAAAAGAATAAAACCAATCTGATTGTGTTATTAGGAAATTTGTTCTAGAAACTTATTCATAAATTATTGATGGAAATGCTTAATGTCCATTATGCTGTCACTTAAAATAGATTCAATCATTTTCTTGTAAAGAAATGACAGTAAAATGAGTAAAAGAATAATAAGTAAACTTATAAACTACAGGTTAATCATCACATATTACAACCAGGTATGACTCTGTGATAATAATAGGAGTCATACTTGGTTGCTATCACAGTACTTATGATCTGGCTGTGTCCTTAAGGTCTTACTTGGAAACTATCACGCCAACCTACCTTTGGGATAATTTTATCAGTAGACACAGACAATGGGTATCTTTTTATCCTGTTAATGTTTGTCTCACTAGTCTGTAACAGATAGCAATGAAATAGTTCTAGCAATAGATGAAGCAAGAGGGTAACTGTGTTCTAAAAGAAACATTTATCTGTCTTTTGATCCAAGTTTCTCTATTAATTCTTGAAGAGGTGCCAGCTCACGCCTATCAATCAGATTAAACTCCTAAAAAAAGAAGAAAAATAACATTTAAAAATGGATCTAAAACTGAAACTCTTTAATTATCTTCTGGAGAAGGGATTCCCAACCCTAGTTTTCTGAAGTCCAAAAGAATCATGAAATAACCTCTGTGATCATTTTAAAATAGGTATTCATTCTTGTCTTTTCTTTTATTTTTTTTCTTTTTTTTTTTTTTTTGTACAGATGTGGTCTATTTGCTAAGGCTGATACTAAACTTTGGCTTCAAGTGATCTGCCCACCTTGGCATCCCAAAGCGCTGGGATTATAGGGGTGGGCCACCATGCCTGGCCCTCTTTTTAAAAATATAGGTGTGACATTGTGATATGTATTTGGTTTTCCTCCCCGTTTCCTGACACATAGCTTGTAAAACCCTTGGTGGAATTACCAGAGTGGTAAGAGTATCTTGTATGCTAATAAGATGACTAGTGACTGGGGGCTCCTATAAAGCTTCAGGATGGGAACTGGTCAACCTTCAGCCAGCCCTCTCTCTTCCCAGATCACAGCCTCTGGGGAGGGGAGAGGGCTGGCTAAAGGCTGAGTTGATCACCATTGGCAATTATTTAATCAATCATGGCCAAGTAATGAAGCTTCCAGAAAAACACAAAAAAACAGGGCTCAGGAGAGCTTCTGGACAGCTGGACGCATGGAGGTTCCTGGAGCATGGCATGCCTGGAGAGAGCATGGAAACCCTTTCTCTCCTGGCCCTACACATCTCTTCCATCTAGCTGTTCATCTGTATCTTTTGTAACATCTTTCATAATAAATGGGTAGAGATAAGTATTTCCCTGAATTCTATAAGCTGCTCTAGCAAATTAATCAAACCCAAGGGGAGGGAGATTGTACGAACCCTGGTTTACAGTCAGAGGTATAGATGACAATCTATTACTTTTGATTGATATCCAAAGTGGGGGGCAGTCTTGTGTGACTGAGCTCTCAACTTGTAGGGTCTGATGCTACCTCCAGATAGTATCAGAACGGAATCAAATTATAGGATATTCATCTGGTATCCACTGTATAAATGACCATTTGCTTGGTATGTGAGGGACAGTCCCCATGTCTGGTCACAGAAGCATTCTGTGTGGTGAGAGTACAGGAGAAAAAAGGGAGTTTGTTTTACAATATTCTTATAATAGGAGACTTATTAAAGAAGCAACTCAGTATCAGTATGATCCTCACTTTGTTAAATATTGAAATCAAAACTATATATATATATATTTAAATGTACATAGAAATTACCTCTGGGCATGGTGGCTCATGCCTATAATTCCAGCACTTTGGGAGGACGAGGCAGGTGGATCACTTGAGGATCACTTTTTATAAAAATATAAAAATGATCTGGGTGCCTGCAATCCCAGCTATTTGGGAGGCTGAGGCAGGAAAACTGCTTGAACCCAGGAGACAAAGGTTGCAGTGAGGCAATATCATGCCATTGCATTCCAGCCTGGGCAACAGAGCAAGACTCTGCATCCCCGCCTACCCCGAAAAAAGAAACTACCTGAAAACTACAAACTGAACTTTTGATAAAGGGGCAGTAGACCTTTATGCAACAATCTGAGAAGGAAGATCAGGAAGAGCATGGTACAGTACACAGAACTATAATATGCAGTATCTACTATAAAGCTACCAGGAAATATCTAGACAGACATATATATGTAATGCGATATGCAAAATACAAGTATCTCTAAGTTAGGCTAAAGGCGTACCAATTCTTTGATATCTTTTTCAAACAATGTGAATTATTTTTCGATTTTTAAAAGTTCCAGTTCTCACCAGGTGCACTGGCTCAGGCCTGTAATCCCAGCACTCTAGGAGGCCGAGGTGGGTGGATCACCTGAGGTCAAGAGTTTGAGACCAGCCTGGCCAACATGGGGAAACCCCGTCTCTACTAAAAATACAAAAATTAGCTGAGCATGGGGTTGGGCACCTGTAATGCCAGGTATTTGGGAGGCTGAGGTAGGAGAATCGCTTGAACCAGGGAGGCAGCAGTTGCAGTTAGCTGAGATCGAGCCACTGCATTCCAGCCTGGGTGACAAAGCAAGACTCTGTCTCAAAAAAAAAATAAAAAGTTCCAATTCTGACTAAGGTCCATAAAGCAACAGGCCACAGCCCTGAATGATATATCCTAACCACAGACCTAGGGAGGCCAGAAGCAGAAATCGCAAATAAGCAGAAGGCCCAAAATAGGCCTTATTTGTTCTAGGTGGGCCCCAAAATAGGCGTGCCTATTTTTTATCTACACATGAAAAATATCTTATCTTCTGAATACTCTGGAAAGCCAGACATTTCTTTCTGAAAGTAATAGTCCCAACTTTATTTTATTAAAGGGCTACTTTCATTTTCCTGCTGCCTATGAAAAGATTTTTTATAAAAGATACCTTTTGTCCGGGTGCAGTGGCTCATGCCTGTAATCCCAGTACTTGGGGACGCCAAGGCAGGCCGATCATGAGGTCAGGAGTTCAAGACCAGCCTGACCAACGTGGTGAAACCCCATCTCTACCAAAAGTACAAAAATAAGCTGGGTATGGTGACATGCGCCTGTAATCCTAGCTACTTGGGAGGCTGAGGCAGGAGAATCACTTGAACCCAGGAGGTGGAGGTTGCAGTGAACCAAGATTGTTCCACTGCACTCCAGCCTGGTGACAGAGAGAGGCTCTGTTTCAAAAAAAAAAAAAAAGATACCTTTTTATACTGCCGCACACATCAATAAACAATGGGGAAAAGAGAACAAAACAGAAAAGAGAAGCTTGCCTGTAACTGGCTCTACATGTATAAATAAGACACACTGCTCTTTATTGAAGTTCCCATTTCAAACAAGTCCAAGTCACAGGACACAGAAATCGACATGGTTCAACTTACCTGAACAAAGAAAATAAAGTGCTTAAAGGAGGTGTTGAGGTGGGCCTCCTCCTGCAGCTGCATCACAGAATCAAAGTGCTGGTGATAAATATGGGCATAAACCCTGAACAGGCGCTTTAGAATAGTCTTTGCCACAGACATAAAGTTTTTGGGAAACGGGACACCTATAATTAAATACACATATATAACAATTAGTCTGTTATCTAATTTAACAGCAGAAAGTTGTTTGTGATAGGGTCTCACTTTGTCACCCAGGATGGAGTGCAGTGGTATAATCTCAGCTCACTGCAGCCTCGACCTCCTGGGCTCAAGCTATCCTCCCACCTCAACCACTGCTCCATCCCCCCAGGTAACTTGAACTACAGGTGCATGCTATTACCCCCAACTAACTTTTTGTATTTTTTGTAGAGATGGGCTTTGCTATGTTGCCCAGGCTACTCTTGAACTCCTAAGCTCAAGCGATCTGCCTGCCTCAGCCTCCAAAAGTGCTGGGATTACGGGCGTGAGCCAACATGCCCAGCCTAACAGTAGAAAGTTTACACACTGTCATGAGCCCCTGCAACATATAAACACACATATTCACAAATATACACAAACCTACCTCTGTGTGTGTGTGTGTGTGTGTGTGTGTTTTAATTAGAGACAGAGTCTCACTGTCGCCAGGCTGAAGTACAGTAGTGCAGTAGTGTGATCTCGGCTCACTGCAACCTCTGCCTCCCAGGTTCAAGTGATTCCCCTGCCTCAGCCTCCCAAGTAGCTGGGACTACAGGCACGTGCCACCATGCCTGGCTAATTTTTTGTATTTTTTGTACAGATGGGGTTTTATCGTGTTAGCCAAGATGTTCTCAATCTCTTGACCTTGTGATCCACCTGCCTAAGCCTCCCAGAGTGCAGGGATTATAAGCGTGAGCCGCCATGCCTAGCCTCTATATATATTTCTTAAAGACAAGGCAATGAAAACCCAAACCAATGTCCTCACAAAGTACCACGTTTTTTCTCACTGTCTTAGGCAGAGGTATCAAATTATGTAAGATGCTATTGAATCAAAGATCAAAAATCCACTAGTTTCAGTTTTGTTTTGTTTTTTCTTTGGAGACAGTCTGCTCTGTCACCTAGGCTGGAGTTCAGTAGCACAATCATGGCTCATTGCAACCTCCACCTCCCGGGGTCACGCAGTCCTTCCACCTCAGCCTCCCAAGTAACTGGGACTATAGGTGTGCACCACTATGCCTGGCTAAATTTTGTTTTTTTAGTAGAGATGGGATTTTGCCATGTTGGTCAGGCTGGTCTCGAACTCCTAGCCTCAAGTGATCTGCCTGCCTCGGCCTCCCAAAGTGCTGGGATTTAGTTCTTTAATATTAGAGAGTTTCTTTCTGAAATTAAATGCAACAAGAGTATTTTGATTATAAATGTTTTTACTTTTTGTAATTTGTAACTCTAAAGAAATTACACTGGCTCAGCACAGTGGCTCATGCCTGTAATCCCAGTATGTTGAGGGGGTGAGGTAGGCAGACTGCCTGAGCTTATGAGTTCAAGATCAGCCTGAGCAACAAGGTAAAACCTCATCTCTTAGGAAAAACGAAATTACATATATATGCACTCTCAATGAGGACTGAAAACTCTCCTAAGCAAAAGAAAAAGGTGGCCAGGCACAGTGGCTCACACCTGTAATCCCAGCACTTTGGGAAGCCAAGGCAAGCAGATCACAAGGTCAGGGGTTCAAGACCAGCCTGGCCAAAGAGACCAGTCTGGCCAAGATAGTGAAACCCCATCTCCACTAAAAATACAAAAATTAGCTGGGCATGGTGGCGTGCCCCTGTAGTCCCAGCTAATCGGGAGGCTGAGGCAGGAGAATTGCTTGAACTTGGGAGGTGGAGGTTGCAGTGAGCCGAGACTGCCCCACTGGACTCCAGACTGGTGACAGAGCAAGAGTCCATCTCAAAAAAAAAAAAAAAAAAAAGGAAAAGAAAAAAGAAAGAAAGAAAGAAAGAAAACAACTGGGGTAGAGTTTGGTGGGGATCCAACTGGTTACCTTCCTGAGAATTTTTGTTGACAATACCAAAGTCCATTAGAAAACAAGGACAGGCATGGCGAGGCACGGTGGCTCATGTGTGTAATCCTAGCACTTTGGGAAGCCGAGGCAGGCAGATCACATGAGGCCAGGAGTTTTGAGACCAGCCTGACCAACATGGCAAAACCCCATTTCTACTAAAAATACAAAAAATTAGCCGGGTGTGGTGGCATACACCTGTTAGTCCCAGCTACTTGGGAGACTGAGGCATGAGAATTCCTGAAACCTGGGAGGCAGAGGTTACCACAAGCCACAATCATGCCACTGCACTCCAGCCTGGGCGACTGAACAAGGCTCCATCTAGAAAAAAGAAAAAAAAAAAAAAGAAAGAAAGAAAGGGGCTGGGTGCAGTGGCTCAAGCCTGTAATCCCAGCACTTTGGGAGGCCGAGGCGGGTGGATCACGAGGTCGAGAGATCAAGACCATCCTGGTCAACATGGTGAAACCCCGTCTCTACCAAAAATACAAAAAATTAGCTGGGCATGGTGGCATGTGCCTGTAATCCCAGCTACTCAGGAGGCTGAGGCAGGAGAATTGCCTGAACCCAGGAGGCAGAGGTTGCGGTGAGCCGAGATCATACCATTGCACTCCAGCCTGGGTAACAAGAGCGAAACTCCGTCTCAAAAAAAAAAAAAGAAAGAAAGAAAGGAAAGAGAAACAGAGAGGAGAAAGACAATACAATTAGCACTGACTACAGTAAATAAACATATAAGACATAAGAAAGCTTCTGCTTCCAAAATAACCTGCATTAGTTGGCCTCAATGGCTTGTTCCATGATACTACTCTAGAAACACATTCTTTTTACAATCGTTCAGAAAACAAAGGCTTAAAACACTCTTTCCCTGCATTTTTTCCCAGCCACCTCTCGATAATCTGAAACTTAACTATATTTTGCTGATTTCTGTGGTTATTCGCCATTACCACCCGAGTCCTAGTTAACTTGACTTTTCAAACATTATCCTGGAGCTTATAGGCATGTTTTCCTGGGAAGGATCCTGTATGCATGTGCTGAAAAAGCAGATTTCTGGCCAGGTGCAGTAGCTTATGCCTGTAATCTCAAGCTCTTTGGGAGACTGAAGCAGAAAGGCTGCTTGGGCCCAGGAGTTTGAGACCATCCTAGGCAACATAGTGAGACCGCATGTTTACAAAAAATTTAAAAATTAGCTGGGCATGGTGGCATACATGCCTGTGGTCTTAGCTACTCAGGTGGCTGATGTAGGAGGACCACCTGAGCCTGGGAGTCAAGGCTACAGTGAGCTGTAACTGTACCACTGCACTCTACCCTGGGCAACAGAGTAAGACTCTATCTCAAAAAAAAAGCAGATTTCAAAATCAAATGTCTTTCCTATCAGAATATATAAATGGGCATCTTTCTAATAAAAGGAATATTAATAATTTGCATGTATTAGTAAAAAAATTGATAATAAACAGTTCTGTCTGAGACTAAATAACTAGCAAAAGTAAGATGTAGATAATAGCCTAATGGGAGGGGAGTGGGAGTGAGAGGTGGTGGATAAGAATGAATTATTTAAGAATGAGAAAGTAGCCGGGCGCGGTGGCTCAAGCCTGTAATCCCAGCACTTTGGAAGGCTGAGGCGGGTGGATCACGAGGTCAAGAGATCGAGACCATCCTGGTCAACATGGTGAAACCCCATCTCTTCTAAAGATACAAAAAAATTAGCTGGGCATGGTGGCACATGCCTGTAATCCCAGCAACTCAGGAGGCTGAGGCAGGAGAATTGCTTGAACCCAGGAGGCGGAGGTTGCGGTGAGCCGAGATCCCGCCATTGCACTCCAGCCTGGGTAACAAGAGTGAAACTCCGTCTAAAAAAAAAAAAAAAAAAAAGGAGAAAGTGAGAAAAGAGCTAGGCACAGTGGCTCACACCTGTTAATCCCAGCACTTTGGGAGGCAGAGGAGGGTGAATCACCTGAGGTCAGGAGTTTGAGACCAGCCTGGCCAACATGGTGAAACCTGTCTCTACCAAAAACTACAAAACTAGCCAGGTGTGGTGGCAGGCCCCTGTAGTCCCAGCTACTCGGAGGCCGAGGCACGAAAATCACTTGAACCTGGGAAGTGGAGGTCACAATGAGCCAAGACTGTGCCATTGCCCTCCAACCTGGGTGACAGAGCAAGACCCTGTCTCCAAAAAAAAGAAAAAAAAAAAAGTGAGAAAAGAGGACAAAATCAAAATTATTCTTTACCTTCCAAAGGGGAGACTTTGGCCGGGCGCGGTGGCTCAAGCCTGTAATCCCAGCACTTTGGGAGGCTGAGGCGGGTGGATCACGAGGTCAAGAGATCGAGACCATCCTGGTCAACATGGTGAAACCCCGTCTCTACTAAAAATACAAAAAATTAGCTGGGCATGGTGGCACGTGCCTGTAATCCCAGCTACTCGGGAGGCTGAGGCAGGAGAATTGCCTGAACCCAGGAGGCGGAGGTTGCGGTGAGCCGAGATCGCGCCATTGCACTCCAGCCTGGGTAACAAGAGCGAAACTCCGTCTCAAAAAAAAAAAAAAAAAAAAAAAACCAAAGGGGAGACTTTAGTGAATAAAGAAATAAGCAATTTGTTTAAAACTAAACACTTTCCATGCTGAATTTAACAGATATATTCAAGCACAGTCAATATAAAATAAAGATATGTGATAAAGGAAAAAGGTTTAACAGCAGAATGGAAAAACTTACCAAGAGCAAACAGACCAAGTGTAACAACTTGGGAAAAAACTTTTTCCTGAAAAATCCTCTATACGACTGCAAAAAGGAATTCAAAATATGTTGTTCATAAAATACCCTTAAGTTGAAAATAACAAGGATTGATCTCATCCATAAAAACTGATTTCAAACTCCTAATCAAAATATTAACAAATAAATACTCGCCGGGCGTGGTGGCTCAAGCCTGTAATCCCAGCACTTTGGGAGGCCGAGGTGGGTGGATCACGAGGTCAAGAGATTGAGACCATCCTGGTCAACATGGTGAAACCCCATCTCTACTAAAAATACAAAAAATTAGCTGGGCATGGTGGCGCGTGCCTGTAATCCCAGCTACTCAGGAGGCTGAGGCAGGAGAATTGCCTGAATCCAGGAGGCGGAGGTTGCGGTGAGCCGAGATCATGCCATTGCACTCCAGCCTGGGTAACAAGAGCGAAACTCCGTCTCAAAAAAAAAACAAATAAATACTCTTCCAGCAGAACTTTTTTAAAAAATGGAGAAAGCGTTATGGTCATCAGCAACAGATACTGGTAAAGCATCTGATAAAACTCTACAACCATTCCTCATTTAAAAAAAAAAAATTTGTGGCTGGGGGCAGTGGCTCATTCCTGTAATCCCAGCACTTTGGGAGGCTGAGGCAGACAAATCACGAGGTCAAGAGATCGAGACCATCCTGACCAACATGGTGAAACCCCATCTCTACTAAAAAAAATACAAAAATAAGCTGGGCATGGTGGCGCGCGCCTGTGGTCCTAGCTACTCGGGAGGCTGAGGCAGGGGAATTGCTTGAACCAGGGAGGTGGAGGTTGCAGTGAGCTGAGATCGTGCCACTGCACTCCAGCCTGGTGCCTGGTGACACAGAGACTCTGTCTCAAAAAAAAAAAAAAATTTGTAATATAAATGGTGCATATTTTTCATTAACACAAATTTTTAAAAAATCTATACACTTCTAGCCCAAAGCCAACATTTCTGCTTACTGCTGAAATGCTACAAGTACTTGCATAATAGTAAGAAAGCAAGAAACGGATGTTTGCCATCATCACCATTACTTGGCATTAGCTGGAAATAACACTGAGCGCAATCATTTAAGTGTAAAACAAGAATGTATTATCAGAAAGGAAGAGGCAAAATGAACAATATCTTACATGACACGCTTGTATACTTTAAAAATTCAAGAGAACCGACCAAAAACTAACAGAAAAAGAGTCTAATGTTTAATTATAAAATTTTTTTTTTTTTTTTTTTTTTGAGACGGAGTTTCGCTCTTGTTACCCAGGCTGGAGTGCAATGGCGCGATCTCGGCTCACCGCAACCTCCGCCTCCTGGGTTCAGGCAATTCTCCTGCCTCAGCCTCCTGAGTAGTTGGGATTACAGGCACACGCCACCATGCCCAGCTAGTTTTTTGTATTTTTAGTAGAGACGGGGTTTCACCATGTTGACCAGGATGGTCTCGATCTCTTGACCTTGTGATCCACCCGCCTCGGCCTCCCAAAGTGCTGGGATTACAGGCTTGAGCCACCGCGCCCGGCTATAAAATTTAAATAAGATCTACAGCGAGTCTACCAGTGGCTCACACCTGTAATCCCAACACTTTTGAGGGGCTGAGATGGGAGCGGTGCTTGAGTCCTGGAGTTTGAGACTAGCCTGGACAACAAAATGAGACCTCATCTCTATAAAAAGTAAAATTAGCCAGGTGTAGTGGTGCGTGGCTATAGTCCCAGCTACTTGAGAGGCTACAGTAGGAGGATCTCTGGAGCCCAGGAAGTCAAGGCTCCACTGAGCTGTGATCATACCCCTGCACTCCAGCCTGGTCAACAGAGTGAGACACTGCCTCAAAAACGAATAAAAAATAAATTAAAAAATAAAAACTAACAGCTTTCCTATACACCAAGTAAGAAGGTGGAAACCAGATTATCAATAAAAGACATAAAATGCCTAGAATAAAATTAAGAAACTTGAAAGACTGACATAAACTACAGAATTTTACAAGAGAAAATAAAGCTAAAGACATGAATAAATGGACAATATCTTGTTCTTGGCTAGGAAGATTCAGTAAAGAGAAAAAGAATCCCTGTCTGTAAAAATTAAATATAGTCGGCCAGGTGCAGTGGCTCACACCTGTAATCCAACACTTTGGGAGCCCAAGGCAGGTGGATTATCTGAGGTCAGGAGTTTGAAACCAACCTGACCAACATGGAGAAACCCCATCTCTGGTAAAAATACAAAATTAGCTGGGCGTGGGGGCGCATGCCTGTAATCCCAGCTACTCAAGAGGCTGAGTCAGGTGAATCACTTGATCCCGGGAAGCGGAAGTTTTGGTGAGCCAAGATCATGCCATTGCACTCCAGCCTGGACAGTAAGAGTGAAACTCAGGCCCCCCGCCAAAAAAAATTAAATGTAGTCATAATTAAAATCTATTTTTTTTTACCTTGACAAAATGTTTCTAAGTTCTTTGGAAAAACAAATATCCCAGAATAGCTGTGCATATTCTGAAAAAGAAGAGCAAGGAAGGGAGACTATCCTTACAAGATGCTAACATATGCATGCCCACAGTCACTAGAAGTGTGGAATTTCTAAAGGAATGGATAAAGGGACTAAAACACAGAAAAGTAGGTGGCAATTTGTTGTGTGCATAAGATAATCCGGGGAGAAAAGGCAAATGTGTTTAATAAATGGTATTGGGACAAACTGGTTAGTATTTTTATTTGGAAAAAAATTAATGTAGCATTCAGAGAAAAAAAACCTTCCTGCCCAGGCCTGGTGGCTCACGCCTGTAATCCCAGCACTTTGGGATGCCAAGGCAGGTAGATCACTTGAGGTTAGGAGTTCATGACCAGCTGGCAAACATGGTAAAACCCTGTCTCTCTCTAATACAATACAAAAATTAGCCAATGCTGTAAGTACTTGGATGTAAATAAAATATTTTAAAAAAAGAAAAAGAAAAAAAATTAGCCAGGTGTGGTGACATGCACCTGTAGTCCCAACTACTAGGGAGGCTTAGGCAGGAGAATCGCTTGAACCTGGGAGGTGGAGGTTGCAGTGAGCCAAGAACGTGCTGCTGCAATCCAGCCTGGGCAACAGACTGAGACTCTGTCTCAAAAAAAGAAAAGAAAACATGAAGAAGAAAAGAAGAAAACAAGATTTTCATAATCCTGAAGAAGGGAAAAGTTTTCTAATTGTTATATTAAAATCAAGTCACAAAAGATATAATGAATAGGACAAAATAATAAGGTTGTATATAGCAAAAATACTCCATGAACAAAATGAGACAAAAGGTAACCCAGGGAAAAATATATACGACATGTATGACAAAGCGCTAATATCTTTTACGCCAAAACAGATGAAAGATATAAACAGAAAACAATCAATAACACAAAAAAATGCTAAAATGCTCAATCTCATCAATACTTTTTTTTTTTTTTTTTTTTGAGACAGAGTCTTGCTCCGTCCCCAGGCACCAGGCTGGAGTGCAGTGGTGCAATCTCAGCTCACTGCAACGTCTGCCTCCCGGGTTCAAGCAATTCTCCTGCCTCAGCCTCCCGAGTAGCTGGTACTACAGGCACGTGCCACCACACCCAGGTAATTTTTTTATTTTTAGTAGAGACTGGGTTTCACCATGTTGGCCAGGATGGTCTCGATCTCTTGACCTCGTGATCCACCCACCTTGGCCTCCCAAAGTGCTGGGATTACAGGCGTCAGCCACAGTGCCTGGCCTCATCAGTACTTTTTAAATGTACATTAAAACAGAAATTTAATCAAATTAGAAAATATTATAAAATGAGTAATAACGAGTGTTTGTGAAGAAATACAGCCAAACACAAACATGGCTGGAGAAGTGCACGTTGGTACAAACTTTTTGGAGGAGAATTTGGCAGTCTCTACTAGTATAACAATGTTAAAAAGAGAAACAGGCTGGATACACTGTGGGAAGCCAAGGCAGGAGGATCACTTGAGGCCAGGAGTTTGAGACCAGCCTGGACAACAGAGTGAGACACCCCATCTCTATTTATATTAATAAAATAAAATTTTTAAAAAAGAAAGAATACTTCTACAATGTAACTCACCAATCTTAGAAGGAAAAAGAGTTTCATCATCAAGCTGATCCTGAACCCAAGTCATCAAATAGTCAATGTATTTTGGTGCAGAACATTTGATTGGCTTTTTAATATTAGTACCATCTGCCCAATGATATTCATATCTGGAGAGAAAAAATGTTTTACTGATAAATTTTTCAAAAATATTAACAAATGTGCAAGTTGTAATTAAAACAGGTTCATTCACATTTTGTCAACAGAAGTTACAGCTAACTTTAATAAATCACCTAAAGCAGGCGTCCCCAAACTGCGGCCCCCTGAGGCCATTTATCTGGCCCCCCCGCCGCACTTCAGGAAGGGGCACCTCTTTCATTGGTGGTCAGTGAGAGGAGCACAGTATGTGGTGGCCCTCCAACGGTCTGAGGGACAGTGAACTGGCCCCCTGTGTAAAAAGTTTGGGGTCGCCTGACCTAAAGTCTGCTGAAGATTACTGTGAGTTCCCTAGAGAATTATCCTGAAAGTGACAGTTATAACTGGAAGAAAAAAGGGGGATAATGTGGCAGGAGGAAATGCCAGGATAGATGTTTTATAAACAACACAGCCCTGGGAAACACGAAGGAACTACATTCCTGTCTGCTAAGGCAGATGGTTACTGAGGACTGGGTAAGGAGCCAATGAATCCACTACATTCTTCTGAGATTCTTGGCCATCAATTTATTATCACTGGTAGAGCCAAGATTATAAAACTCAGTTTTGTGCACCAGGTGTTAGAGATATACAATTAAGAATGTATACTTTCCCCCCTTACCTTTGCTGAGCTAGAAGGATTAACAATAGTCATACAAAACATCACTGTGTAAGGCATTTTGAGCCATAGATAAGTTTAACTTTCCTGTTCAATTTCTTTTAAAGTTTGAGGAATAAAACTTAACACAACATAAAATAAAAACATTTTTCCTAAAATAGTATAATAAAAATAGGACTATAAACTCATTAGTGATCTTTTTTCCCTTACACTTGTAGCAAAGTCAGAAAAGACAATCATTTCTAAGAGGCAAACATCTTGATAACATCTATCATCACATAAAATCAGTCATTTATTATAAGAAAAAAACTGGAAGGAAAGACAGCAAACATTAATCCTATCGTATGAGGGACTTAACACTATGAGTGATAGAGTTCCATCTTCTTCATTATTCTTGAAATTTATTAAAGCCCAAACATTTTTAAATCTAGCATCTTCAAGCCAGATAATTACTTCTAAAGTGTGCTACTTTAGATACTAAAAAAATCACAAGAAAAAAATAATCAAATATTAAAGGTCAACTAAAAACTCTCCCAAGAAATTCATTTAAAAACTAGAAAGAGGAGCTGGGCGCGGTGGCTCAAGCCTGTAATCCCAGCACTTTGGGAGGCTGAGGCGGGTGGATCATGAGGTCAAGAGATTGAGACCATCCTTGGTCAACATGATGAAACCCCGTCTCTACTAAAAATACAAAAAATTAGCTGGGCACGGTAGCACATGCCTGTAATCCCAGCTACTCAGGAGGTTGAGGCAGGAGAATTGCCTGAACCCAGGAGGCGGAAGTTGCGGTGAGCCGAGATCGCGCCATTGCACTCCAGCCTGGGTAACGAGTGAAACTCTGTCTCAAAAAAAAAAAAAAATTAAAAAAAAAAAAAAAAAAAACTAGAAAGAGGAAACATAAATGTTATTAATAAATTTGAAAAAATAAAATGTTTGCTATTCAAGACAAATATAACTCAAATTTCTGTTTACTTCTATAATAAAACATTCAGACTTACTATGATGCAATATAAAAATGAAAACGGGAGTACCCACATACCAAAGTATTTAACAGTAACTAATAGCTGGCCAGCCACGGTGGCTCACGCCTTTAATACTAGCACTTTGGGGGGGCCAAGGCAGGTGAATCACTTAAAGCCAGGAATTTGAGACCAGCCCTGGGCAATGTGGCGAAACTCCATCTCTACTAAAAATAAACAAATTAACTGGGAGTGGTGGTACACTCCTGTAATCCCAGCCACCTGGGAGGCTGAGGCATCAGAATCACTTGAACCTGGAAGGCAGAGGCTGCAGTGAACCAAGATCACACCACTACACTCCAGCCTGGTGACAGAGCAAGACTCTGTCTCAAAAAAATAAATAAATAAAATAAAATAAAATAAATTACAAAATAACTAAAAGCTTACAGATGAGTAGTCAACAACCAATAAAACTGAATCACGGGCCGGGCGCGGTGGCTCAAGCCTGTAATCCCAGCACTTTGGGAGGCCGAGGCGGGTGGATCACGAGGTCAAGAGATCGAGACCATCCTGGTCAACATGGTGAAACCCCGTCTCTACTAAAAATACAAAAAATTAGCTGGGCATGGTGGCGCGTGCCTGTAATCCCAGCTACTTGGGAGGCTGAGGCAGGAGAATTGCCTGAACCCAGGAGGCGGAGGTTGCGGTGAGCCGAGATCACGCCATTGCACCCCAGCCTGGGTAACAAGAGTGAAACTCCATCTCGGAAAAAAAAAAAAAAAAAAAAATACTGAATCACCTTCACACAAGCAAACAGATAACAAATCTTAATTATTTAATTGACATCAATCGGTGATAAAGTAAAAGCAATCCAAACACCTATATAATAGGCAGTATATGTACCTTGGACCTGCAGACATGACTGGACAGCTTGTTTCAGTGCAGAATTCTGTAATAGTTCCATATAACATGTTGATCTGGTTAAAGAAATCCACAGCTGCAGAGATAATAGAACTGTATTAAAATGTCTGTGTAAACACAAAATGTGAGTTGAAGCAGAAGGAAAAACAGACATTTTAGGTTCTTGGCTGAACCACTGAGACATTCAATAATCCAAAGACACTGTAAATTTTAAGTTGTCACACATAAAAAAAGTTAACTTTTAGTATACGAAGCTTTTTTTCCCAAGACAGTCTTGCTCTGTTGCCCAGGCTGGAGTGCAGTGGTATAATCTCAGCTCACTGCAACCTCTGCCTCCTACGTTCAGGTGATTCTCCTGCCTCAGCCTCCCAAGTAGGTGGGATTACAGGCCCATGCCACCATGCCCGGGTAACTGTGGATTTTTTTGTATTTTTAGTTGTGATAGGGTTTCACCATGTTGACCAGGCTGATCTTGAACTCCTGACCTTGTGATCCACCGGCATATAACAGCAGGAAAATAAGACACTGGAGATAATTCTAACTTAATGATGACTATTGTATCATTTAAATATACAACATGGGCCAGGCTACTCAGGAGGTTGAACTGGAAGGATCCCTTGAGCCCAGGAGTTCGAGGTTGCAGTGAGCTGTGAGGAGGGTACCACCACACTCCAGCCTGGGCAACCCTGCCCCCAGAAAATTAATAAATAAAAAGTTTTAGTCTCCTGTCTAAAGAAGTACCTAAAAATAACTAGAGATTTTCCAAGTTTTTTAAAAAATAGATTTTTTTAATGCTATCTTGTAAAAAGGAATTTTACACACAACTCCCTTGCTTATAAATATTCTGCTAAGTCATGTTTCTAAGAAAGTTAACACTTAGGTATTCAATATTCACTCAAAACAAAAAATATGCCCAGGTGGCAGCTGGTTTGGTCTAGAGCAGCTCTTCTCAAAATGTGGTCTAGGAATCCCCTAACTGAGGGAGGATCTGTAAGGTCAAACTATTTTAATTGCTCTTTTCACATTTATTCTCTCAAGAGGGCACAATAGTGTTTTCCAGAGGCTCCATGATATGTGATATCACAACAGACTGAATACAGCAGCAGATATAAGGGATCCAGCTGTGGCCAGGGGAGGTGGCTCACGCCCATAATTCCAACACTTTGGGAGGCTGAGGCGGGTGGATCATAAGGTCAGGAGATCAAGACCATCCTTTCATCCATGGTGAAACCCCGTCTCTACTAAAAATATAGAGGACCCAGACTCCAGCTGTGGCTACAACATAGGGTTTTTGTTGTTGTTCTTGTTGTTGTTGAAATGAAGTCTTGCTCTCTTGCCCAGGCTGGAGTGCAGTGGCATGAACTTGGATCACTGCAACCTCTGACTGCTAAGTTCAAGCAAATCTCCTGTGTCAGCCTCCTAAGTAGCTGGGATTACACGTGCCGGTCACCATGCCCAGCTAATTTTTGTATTTTTAGTAGAAATGGTGTTTCGCCATGTTAGCTAGGCTGGTCTCAAATTCCTGACCTCAAGTGATCTGCCCACTTCAGCCTCCCAAAGTGCTGGGATTACAGGTGTGAGCCGTGCCTGGCTTGTATTTTATTTTTTGAATTAACACAGAATGGTATATTTATGGGAATCAATATTTTTTTAAGAGGATGAGTGGATCCTGAGACCAAGAAAATTCAGAACTGCTGATCTACAGCAGTTAAGTCTCAAAAAAACATCTAAGGCTAAAGAAGGTCAATAAATGCCTTCAGAATAACAGATGATAATCTGAATAAAGTTTTTTTAAAAGAGGTTTTTTCCTGAATAAATAATACCTCACGTGGTTCGAATTTCAAATATGTTAAAATATAGAGTTAAAAGTCTACAATCCAAACACTCCAATTCCTCTCAGACCTTACACGCAAGTAACCACTTTATTAACTTTTGTCTCCTAAATTTATTTACCCTTTCTTATAAAAAAGGTATTACATAGTTCTGCACCTTGTTCTTTTTTCTTAACAATATGAATACGGCTTTTGAATGAAAAAACAAAAAATGAAAAAAATTTAAATGGTGCTACTTTGGAAAACTTAAAATTACATACGTAGTTCATATTACATTTCTATTGGACAGCATTGATCAAGACAATGTTTATCAATAGCTGGTTATTACCACATAAAAAGACAACAAGGGCCAGCGTGGTGGCTCATGCCTATAATCCCAGCACTCTGGGAGGCCAACGTGGGCAGATACCTAAGGTTGGGAGTTTGAGACCAGCCTGACAAACATGGAAAAACCCTGTCTCTACTAAAACTACAAAATTAGCCAGGCGTTGTGGTGCATGCCATTAAACCCAGCTACTCAGGAGTCTGAGGCAGGAGAACCACTTGAACCTGGGAGACAGAGGTAGCAGTGAGCCGAGATGGTGCCACTGCTCTTCAGCCTGGGCAACAAGTGGGAAACTCAGTCTCAAAAAAAAAAAAGACAACTAGATCCAGTCAAAATTCCAGCAAGTTATTTTGTGGTGGACACACTGGTTCTAAAGTTTTTACTGAAAAGCAAAAGACCCAGAACAGCCAACACAATATTGAAGATCTCAAGATCAACAAAATTGGGAGGGCTGATGCTACCCAATTTTAAAACTTACTATAAAATTACAGTAATCAGGATAGTGTAGTACTGCTAATAGTGTAGTACTGGTAAGAGAAAAGACAAGTAGATCAAGGAACAGAATAGACAGCCCAGAAACAGACCCACATGAATATGGAAAACTGATTAACCCTGTAATCCCAGCACTTTGGGAGTCTGAGGCAGGTAGATTATTTGAGGCCAGGAGTTTGAGACCAGCCTGGCCAACATGGTGAATCCCTGTCTCTACTAAAAATACAAAAATTAGCCTGGCATGGTGGCAGGCACCTGTAATCCCAGCTACTCAGGAGGCTGAGGCAGGAGAATAGCTTGAACCCAGGAGGTGAACACTGCACTTTAGCTTGGGTGACAGAGCAAGACTCAATCTCAAAAACAAACAAAAACATTTGTAGGACAGTCAGGGAAAATGTGAACACTGATCAGGTATTTGGTAAGTTAAAGGTTAAGAGCACTGTCATTATCTTTACAAGTTCTTGTCTTTTAGACATACCTAATTGAAATATTTATAGATAAAATATGTCTAGGATTTGCTTAAAATAATCAAGGTGGCATACAGAAGCAGCATAATTGGTCAGAAATTGATATTTGCTGGAGCTGGATAATGGAATGAATACTTGGAATTCACTGTAGTTAAGTCTCTCTACTTTTGTATGTTTGAAATTTTCCATTAAAAAGTTTTAAACGTTCCTGGAACAGCTGAAATTCCTAATTTAAACTTTATCACCCAGAAATGAGCTCATCTCAGAAATGAGAGACTCTCACATTCAAATCTCTAGCCTTAGCATATTGTCCCATGTCATGCCCTTGTTCTCTTGAACTCAAAGTGACTTTCAGCTCAGATCCCTCCATTTTCTCCCAATCTCTCAATTCCCTCTGACACTCTTTTTTTTTTTTTTGAGACGGAGTTTCGCCCTTGTTACCCAGGCTGGAGTGCAATGGCACGATCTCGGCTCACCGCAACCTCCGCCTCCTGGGTTCAAGCAATTCTCCTGCCTCAGCCTCCTGAGTAGCTGGGATTACAGGCACGTGCCACCATGCCCAGCTAATTTTTTGTATCTTTAGTAGAGACGGGGTTTCACCATGTTGACCAGGATGGTCTCGATCTCTCGACCTTGTGATCCACCCGCCTCGGCCTCCCAAAGTGCTGGGATTACAGGCTTGAGCCACCGTGCCCGGCCTTCTTTTTTTTTTTTTTTTGAGGCGGAGTTTCACTCTTGTTACCCAGGCTGGAGTGCAATGGCACGATCTCGGCTCACCGCAACCTCCGCCTCCTGGGTTCAGGCAATTCTCCTGCCTCAGCCTCCTGAGTAGCTGGGATTACAGGCACGCGCCACCATGCCCAGCTAATTTTTTGTATTTTTAGTAGAGGCGGGGTTTCACCATGTTGACCAGGATGGTCTCGATCTCTCGACCTCGTGATCCACCCGCCTCGGCCTCCCAAAGAGCTGGGATTACAGGCTTGAACCACCGCGCCCGGCCCCCCTCTGACACTCTTTAAGTCACAACAATTAACTGACTGGCCATATGAACTGCAACTGACTTTTCTGGACATACAGGCTGATGAGTACTGCTGCAAGCGGAAGAAAAACTGTATAGATAGATTTACTACAAAGTCACAGACCATGACATGCATAATCTTTTTTTTTTTTTTTTTTTTTTTTTGAGATGGAGTTTCGCTGTCGTTACCCAGGCTGGAGTGCAATGGCACGATCTCGGCTCACCGCAACCTCCGCCTCCTGGGTTCAGGCAATTCTCCTGCCTCAGCCTCCTGAGTAGCTGGGATTACAGGCACGCGCCACCACGCCCAGCTAATTTTTTGTATTTTTAGTAGAGACGGGATTTCACCGTGTTGACCAGGATGGTCTCGATCTCTTGACCTCGTGATCCACCCACCCAAAGTGCTGGGATTACAGGCTTGAGCCACCGCACCCGGCTAATCTTTTCATTTATCAATCTTTATCTGACCATACTCAGCTTTTCATACTACTCTCCTCAGAAATTGCCCAAAAGCACTCATCATTTCTTCTCGAGTCCCTCTATTCAACCTTACAAGCTACCACCAAGTACTCTGAAAAGAACAACATAGTTTTGGATGTATTTGTACTTAATGTTGCTTTACAGATAATCTGTTATATTGTAAGTTATATCTGTCAAAGAAAATTCATTAACCAGATTTTAGCAAAACCTTTCTGTAAAACAGCAAAGTTGCATTTTAAAACTTACTGTTTACAGCAATCCATTCATTGAGATCCTCTCCCTCAGGCAACATAACAGCTTGTCTGAGATTCCCACTTCCTAAAGTTGCTTCTGCATGTTTTAAGAGTTCATACTGATGAGATCCTTCAGGGATATTCTTCTTTGGTTTGAATGTTTTAGAAGAGCGGCTGCTGCTGTAAGGTTAAAAGTGAAAGCATGTGAATTTTTAAGACTGGAAATACAACAGGTAGAACAACATAATTTTAGACATATAAAGTGGTCTGTAAAAATAAAATAAAAAATACTATCTGGGACAGGCACAGTGGCTCATGCCTGTAATCTCAGCACTTTGGGATCATTTGAGGTCAGGAGTTCAAGACCAGCCTGAACAACATGACGAAACCTGTCTCTACTAAAAATACAAAAACTAGCTGAGCATGGTGGCACATGCCTGTAGTCTCAGCTACTCGGGGGACTGAGACAGGTGAGTCGCTTGAACTCAGAAGGCAGAGGCTGCAGTGGGCCGAGAGCGCACCACCGCACTCCAGCCTGGGAAACAGAGCGAGACTCTGACTCAAAAAAAAGAAACAAAAAAGCATGCGCTCTGAACAATGCCAAGATAGGAAGATGATGATCACAATAAAAGAATGCTTTTTTTCCCCTGCACATAAAAGCAAGATTAGCAGCACAATTTCACAAATAAGGCAATTTCACTACGTCCTCTGAAGAAGCCTGGTACAGAGAGGGTAGTTTAACCAAAGGAAAATCCTAGATTTAGTTCTTGATCTGACACTAACTGTGTCTTCTTGAGAAGCTGAACATATTTCCATTTTTTTTGTTTGAGATGTAGTCTTACTCTGTCACCCAGGCTGGAAGGTAGTGGCGTGATCTTGGCTTACTGCAACCTTCACCTCCAGGATTCAAGTGATTCTCCTGCCTCAGCCTCCCAAGTAGCTGTGATTATAGAAGCCACCACCACGCCCAGCTAATTATTATTATTATTATTTTTTTAAGTGGACATGGGATATTGCCATGTTGACCAGGCTGGTCTTGAACTCCTGACCTCAAATGATCCACCTGCCTCAGCCTCCCAAAATGCTGGAATTACAGGCATGAGCTACGGTGCCTGGCCTTAATTTTCACCTATAGAAAATGGTGGGGCCAGGCCGGGCGCGGTGGCTCAAGCCTGTAATCCCAGCACTTTGGGAGGCCGAGGCGGGTGGATCACGAGGTCAAGAGATCAAGACCATCCTGGTCAACATGGTGAAGCCCCGTCTCTACTAAAAATACAAAACATTAGCTGGGCATGGTGGCACGTGCCTGTAATCCCAGTTACTCAGGAGGCCGAGGCAGGAGAATTGCCTGAACCCAGGAGGCGGAGGTTGCGGTGAGCCGAGATAGCGCCATTGCACTCCAGCCTGGGTAACAAGAGCGAAGAGCGAAACTCCGTCTCAAAAAAAAAAAAAAGAAAAAAGAAAGGCCGGGCGCGGTGGCTCAAGCTTGTAATCCCAGCACTTTGGGAGGCCGAGGCGGGTGGATCACGAGGTCGAGAGATCGAGACCATCCTGGTCAACATGGTGAAACACCGTCTCTACTAAAAATACAAAAAATTAGCTGGGCATGGTGGCGCGTGCCTGTAATCCCAGCTACTCAGGAGGCTGAGGCAGATGAATTGCCTGAACCCAGGAGGCGGAGGCTGCGGTGAGCCGAGATCGTGCCATTGCACTCCAGCCTGGGTAACAAGAGCAAAACTCTGTCTCAAAAAAAAAAAAAAAAGAAAAAAGAAAATAGTGGGGCCAAGTGCAGTGAGTGGCTCACACCTGCAATCCCAGCAGTTTGAGAGACCAAGTTGGGATGTCTGGTTGAGCCCAGGAGTTCGAGACTAGCCAGGACAACATAGCAAGGCCTCATGAGGGATGGGAGAGATAGAAAGAAAATGGTGCAGGCAAGTTTAGTTCAAAAATCGTTTTCTATATCAAAATATTTGGGATGCCTTGAAAGCAAACCACAGTAAAAGAAACACTAACATCTTTAGGTTTGTAACAAGGAAAATAAATGTGACAGCCACGATTCATTATTGAAGAAAAAAATATTTTTATTACTATCTGACACCATCCATAAAGTCTTCCTAACATGACACAAAACTCAGAAACCTAAATGAAAAAACTGACAGATTTCAAATAGTATCAATTAAAACTTCTGTAATAGAGCAAAAAGAGAAGTAACCAAAAAAAAGTACTTGTAACATATATTACAAAGGATGAACTGGTAATAGCCAGAGGGCTTCTATAACTCACTAAGAATACAACGAATCCTTTGGAAAAATAGGCTAAGGATATGAATAGGCAATTCAGTAAAAGTATGACAATCAATGAGCATGTAAAAAACTGTTCAATTAAAGTAAGATTTATTTTTTCCCTAATCTGAGTGTCAAAAGTTAAAATGATTACATTAAATGTAGACTAGGGCAGGAGCCTCTAACCCCAGGGCCACAGACTGGGCCCCACAGATGTGGGTGAGCAGTGAGCAAGCAGCAAAGCCTCACCTGTATTTACAGCCGCTCCTCATTGCTGGCATTACCACCTGAGCTCCACCTCCTGTCTCACAGGAGTGTGAACCCTATTGTGAACTGTGCATGCAAGGGATCTAAACTGTGTGTGTTTTATGAGAATCTAATGCCTGATGATCTGTCACTCTCTCCCATTACTTCCAGATGGGACTGTCTAGTTGCTCAGAGCTCCCACTGATTCTACATTATGGTGACTTGTGTAATTATTCATTATATATTACAATGTAATAATAGAAATAAAGTATACAATCAGTGTAATGCATTTGAATCATCCAGAAACCATCCCCCGCAACCAGATCTGTGGAAAAGCTGTCTTCCATGAAACTGGTCCCTGTTGCCAAAAATGTTGGAGACTGCTGGACGTGGGTACAGAGAAGCTAGTACTTTAATATACTATTGGTGAAAGTATAAAGTGTAACCTTTTGGGAGGGCAATATGGTAGTATCTATTAACACTGAAAAGATCCTCAATCCACCCTTCCTACTTCTAAATATCTTCTCTAGATACGGATAAGGATTTGTTTTCCAAAATTGTTTTTAATAGTGAAAAACCTAGAAGGAATCCTAAAGTTTGTCAGTATAGGATTAAAGAAACTGGGCAAGGCATGGTGTGGCTCACGCCTGTAATCCCAACATTTTGGGAGGCCGAGGTGGGCAGATCGCGAGGTCAGGAGATTGAGACCATCCTGGCCAACAGGGTGAAACCCTGTCTGTACTAAAAACACGCACACACAAAAAATTTGCTGGATGTGGTTGCGCATGCCTCTAATTCCAGCTACTCGTGAGACTGAGGCAGGAGAATCACTTTCACCCAGGAGGCAGAGGTTGCAGTGAGTCAAGAGCTTGCCACTGCACTCTAGCCTGGCGACAGAGCGAGACTCCGTCTCGAACAAAACAAAACAACAAACAAACAAACTATGGGTACATCCATATCAGGGGATATTGTATAGAAATTAGGAAAACCCGATAGAGTACATGTATTTACAGAGAAAGATCTCAAGACATGGTTAAACATATTACACAACCAAATTTAAGCAGGAGCCCATTTTGTAAATGCATAGAAAGTATCAAAAACTAAACTCATCAAAACTGGTGATTACTTCTAGGAAGAGGAATGGAATAGACTATGGACTTCTACTTTACCTCTGTAATTTGGACTTTAAATAAGACTGATTAAGAAGTATAAGAGAATTATGAAAAAAATAAAAATCAAATATGGAAAGTTTTTAACATGATAAAAAAACTATATTGAACAGGGAAAAAATATTTGCAAATCATAGATATGATAAGGACTTGTATCTGGAATGTATAAAGAACTCTTACTACTCAAAAACAAACAGACAGCCCAATTTAAAAATGGGCAAAGGATTTGAATAGACTTTACTCCAAGGAATATATGCAAATGACCAATAAGCACATGAAAAAATGCTCAACATCATTAGTCATTAGGGAAATGCAAATCAAAATCAGGAGATACACATCCACTTAGGGTGACTATATAAAAAAAAGACAATTAACAAGTGCTATGGAGGGTGTGGGGAAATTGGACCCCTCATACAGTGCTTATGGGAATGGAAAATGGTGCAGCACCTTCAAAGTTTGGCGGTTCCTCAAAAGGTTAAACATAGTTACCATGTTAAAGCACTCCTAGCAATTCCACTCCTAGGTATATACCCAAGAGATATGAACACATACATCCAGGCAAAAACCTGTCACATATGTTCACAGCTGCATTATTCATAATGGCCAAAAATCGGGAACAACTCAAGTGTCCATCAAGAAGGCCAAGTTTTAAAAAAAAAGTCTCTGTCGGGTGCGAGGGTGGATCACCTGAGGTTAGGAGTTCGAGACCAGGCTGGCCAACATGGTGAAACCCCGTATCTACTAAAAACACAAAAATTAGCCGGGTGTGGTGGCCAGTGCCTGTTATCCCAGCTACTTGGGAGGCTGAGGCAGGAGAGTTGCTTGAACCCAAAAGGCAGAGGTTGCAGTGAGCCAAGACCATGCCATCGCACTCCAGCCTGCGTGATGGAGCGAAACTCCGTCTCAAAAAGAAAAAGAAAAAAATCTCACTTTAAGGTCCACAAAGCAACTATGCATTCACTAAATATTGACTCATAAGAAAAAAGTGGAAGAGGGGGGAATACTTCTATTAATATGGAAATAAATCTAAATCATACAGGCTTTTTGACAACATCATCGTATTTTAGAGATCATTCTTTTACAAAAATAACCCAAAGGAGGGAAAATGGGACGCGGATAAACATAGTCTTAATAGTGCTATAATAGCAATACTGGAAGGAATCCCAGTTTCTTACAATAAAGTGGGCAAACTCTGGTTATTAAAAAAAAAAAACACAACAACAACAACAAAAAAAACTATGCAGTGCTTTTTATGTTGTACTTAAAAATGTCAAGCTTGTGGATTATATCCATAACTAAAAATGGATAATTATTCATTCAATCACAAAACCCACATTTAAGCAATATATAAAGTGGAGAGAGCCACCTGAGAATAAAAAATACTGTGCTAGAGCAGGGCTTCTCAAACTTCAATGTGCATAAGAATCATCCATTTACAAACTTTTTAATTTGAGCCTCGTTTGGGCTCAGGCATTATCTCTAAAATGAGATTCTAAGGCATGTGTATCAAGTTAACTGCTGTAGTGTACTAAAATGGCAATACCGTGCTTCTGTAATGGGACTAAGAATGAATTTATTTTTTAATTTTAACTTTTCAAATTATAATAATATTGCAAGGTACTATGTAAGAATACTCTACGGTGTATTACATAATGATTAAAAACACACGATTCTACCGAGGACAAGAGAAGTTAGTTAAAATCAAAGCCAGTAAGTGGGCAGAATCAGAATTGGACCGAACGATCTGACTCCAAGGCCCCCATCTTAACATCAACCTTCTCAAACCGCCGCACTGCACACTCTCCTGGGGCGGCATTTAACACCGACAATAGTGAAACTGGACCTCCAACAGAGCGACGAGCTAAGGCGGCAGGGATCGCTTCTAGAGGCTCGAGACGAAAGAAACTGGGGGCCCGCGGCTCCGCCCCCAGATCATCTCTCCGCCCTTGGGGGCGCTCGGGCGTTAAAGTTTGGAGGCGCGGCGGCCCCAGGGCCTTTCTACTCCCCAGCCTTCTCGCTCAGTTCCCTTTACCCCGACCTTCATCTCTGTCCGCCTCTCTCAACATCTCGGCCTCCTGCGCCGGCCCCAGCAGAGGCAAAACGAACGCCAGCTACCCCGCCCCTCCCCGGCCCCCGGGCCCAGCCCTCGCCCCGGGTCTGGGGAGGCCTCCCCCACGACCTCGGCCCGCGGCCCGGCCCCACTCACAAGAGGAAGCTCATCTCCGGTCCTCAGAGGAGAGGCAAGGGGCCGCCGGCCCCCGCCCAGGTCAGGATTCGGAGCCGGCGAGAAGGAGCGGACAGTCCTTAGCTCAAGGGCAGCGGAAGCCGGGCCGCCGCCGCTCGGAGCCGGAGTTCTGGCCGCCGCGAGCCCTTGCAAACCTCGACGCCCGCCTCGCCCGCCAACCCCACCTCACAGACCCGAAATGCGGAACCTGCGAAATCTCGCGAGCTGAGGCTTCGCGGCGCCAGGAGGGACTTGACGCGCCCCCTTTCGCTCCGCCTCTTCCTAGAAGTCAGCAATCACCGCTCTCCAAGCCAGGACCTCCCGCCCCCGGAGGCGTGGCGGGGACCGCGGTCCTGCGGAAGGGACAGTGGCCCGTCCTGCTCTTGGCCTCTCTTGGTTCTGGGGGGTTTCGTCCCCGCTTCCCAGGTTGTACAGGGGCCTCTATAAGCGCTGCCTAGCCCTACAATTTTTAAAAATTTTAATTTAATTGCTACTTGAAATATATTCACATAGCATAAAATCTACCGTTTAAACATGTACCCTCTAGTAGTCTTTTTCGTTTATTTTTTCTTTTTCTTTTCTTTCTTTCTTTCTTTCTTTTTTTTTTTTTTTTTTTTTTTTGAGATGAGGTCTTGCTCTGTCGCCCAGACTGGAGTGCAGTGGGGTAATCACTGCAGCCTCGACCTCCCGGGCTTAAGTGATCCTCTCGCCTCAACCTCCCGACTAGCTGAGACCACAGGTGCATGCCACGACACCCTGCTAATTTTCTCAAAGTTTTGTAGAGATGGCGGTCTCACTGTGTTGTCCAAGCTGGTCTTGGACTCCTGAGCTCAAGGGATCCTCCTGGTTTGGCCTCCGAAAGTGCTGGGATCACAGATGTGAGCCACTGCCTCTGGCTTCGTTTATGTTTTCAAAGCGTGCCAACCATAACCACTAATTTTTTTTTTTTTTTTTTTTTTTTAAAGACAGAGCCTCACTTTGTAGCCCATTCCCAGATTGGAGTACAGTGATGCAACCTCGGCTCATTGCAACCTCTGCCTTCCAGATTCAAGTGATTCTTGTGCCTCAGCCTCCTGAGTAGCTGGGATTACAGTAGTGCGCTACCACACCTGGCTAGTTTTGTTTTGTTTTGTTTTTTTCTTTAAGTAGAGACGGGGTTTCACCATGTTGGCCAGGCTGGTCTCGGTCTCAAACCCCTGACCTCATGCAATCCACCCGCCTTGGTCTCCCAAAGTGCTGGGATTACAGGCGTGAGCCACCGCGAGCAGCCTAACCATAGTTCTAGGACATTTTCGTCACCGGGAAAAGAAACCCCATAGCTATTAGCAGTCGCTCTTTTTTTACCCACCTCCCTCCTCCCAACCCCTGGTAACCACTACTCTACTTTCTATTTCCATGGATTTACCTAATTTGGACATTTCATACATACTGTGAATGGAAGCATACATTATGTGGTCTTTTGCAACTGACTTCTTTCACTTAGCCTAATGTTTTAAAAGTCACCCACATTGTAGCATGTATCAGAGCTTCATTCCTGCCCAGGTACAGTTGTGGCTTACGTCTGTAATCCCAGCACTTTGGGAGACTGAGGCTGGCGGATCACTTGAACTCAGGAGTTCGAGACCAGCCTGGGCAACATGGTGAAACCCTGTTTCTACAAAAATACAAAAAGTAGCCAGGCATAGTGGTGTGTGCCTGTGGTCACAGCTACACCGAAGGCTGAGGCGGGAGGATCCCTTGAGCCCCGGAGGTGGAGGCTTCAGTGAGCTGAGGTGGAGCCACTGCACTCCAGCCCAGGTGAAGAGCCAGACCCTGTCTCTAAAAAAGAAAAAAGAGGCCGGGCGCGGTGGTTCAAGCCTGTAATCCCAGCACTTTGGGAGGCCGAGGCGGGTGGATCACGAGGTCAAGAGATCGAGACCATCCTGGTCAACATGGTGAAACCCCGTGTCTACTAAAAATACAAAACATTAGCTGGGCATGGTGGCGCGTGCCTGTAATCCCAGCTACTCAGGAGGCTGAGGCAGGAGAATTGCCTGAGCCCAGGAGGCGGAGGTTGCGGTGAGCCGAGATCGTGCCATTGCACTCCAGCCCGGGTAACAAGAGCGAAACTTCGTCTCAAAAAAACAAAAACAAAAACAAAAAAAAAAACTTCATTTCTTTCTATGGATGAGTAATATTCCATTGTGTGAATATACCACATTTTGTCTATCAATTGTTGTCAACCCAAACAACATTTGGGTTGTTTCCATTTTTGTCTATTATTAATAATGCTGCCATGAACATTCACGTGCAGGCTTTTGTGTGGTATTAATGCCAAGTGACAACCAAGCAACGCCTTCATTCCACTGTGGTGGAATTAAGAAAACAAAAGGAAAATGGCGGGAGACCTGAGTCATAGCTCAGCACGGCACATGGTGGTACAGGATACCCAATGTAAAAGAGTTCGCCCAGTACCTGACTGCACAATATGTGTGTTTCCAGTAATTTTATTTCATTCATATATCACTTGTCACATTAAGTTAATGATGTTAGGGCGCATGAGACGGTATTAAATTATGTTTTCTATTTCTTGTATATATTTTTTAGTCAGTTATGTAAAGAAAATTTACATACTTTTCCCTCCCCTGAAAAAAAATTAATAATGTTAATTTTAATTTTTTAAACTTTTTTAGTTTTTTGGAATTTAATTTATAAATATATGTGATTTGATATAGCTATATGTAAGTTACAAACATAGGAACACAGACTCAGGCTGGGCGAGGTGGCTCATGCCTGTAATCCCAGCGCTTTGTGAGGCTGAGGTGGGTGGATCACTTGAGCTCAGGGGTTCAGGACCAGTCTGGGCAATATGGCAAAACCCCACCTCTACAAAAAATACAAAAAAAAAAAAATAGCTGGACATGGTGGTGCACGCCCATAGTCCCGCTACTTGGAAGACTGAGGCTGAAAGATGGATTGAGCCCTGGGGGTAGAGGCTGCAATGAGCCGAGATCACATCACTGTACTCCAGCCTGGGTGACAAAAGGGAGACCATGTCTCAAAAAAATAAACAAAACAAAACAAAACAAAACAAAACAAAAAACACAGATTTGCAGATTTATATTTCTGTAGTAATTTATATTACTTAAATAATATAGTTATTATAAAAAATGATTTCCAAATATCATGGGAAAAAAGAAATTCATAAAAGTGTTCCCTCTTTCAATGGTATTGTTCTTCCAGTTGAAGAATCACTGAGGATAGGAAGGCCAGCTGTTTATAAGAAAAACCTTTCTACAACAAAGCCACAGCTCATATGAAGAAATAAAGAGAGATTAAAAAAAAGAAAAAGAAAAAGAAAAACCTTTCAAGATGGCTAAATTTGGTTGGGGTAGGGAGGAAGGATTTCATGATTAGAGAAAAATCCTCAATTAATATTTAAGCAGGATATTAACATAGTTCACTTAGAGATCAAAGATAAAATATTTAAAAATAAAATAGAAATAAAAAGAAAAAATAAAAAAGATAAGATATTCCAATAAAAGAGAGAAATTGTTCATTGCTGATTGCTGTAGGACAATTTGTTCCCCACCAGACAAAGTCTGTACAAAGACTGAAGAAGTTTCATTCACTTTTTGGCTCAGCCGGCCAGAGATCACTGCACACCATCTGGTCACAGCAGATGCTGAAAGCAGAAGCTAAGCGGCGAATTGTGAAGCCTCCAGGACGGGCTCTTCTGAACCTCTCCCCACTTCCCATTCATCACACAGTTCCCGTTTCCAGCTCCCTGGGGCAAGATTTGCAACCCTGCATTTTCGTTCTGTGTAAATGCCCATTCTATCATTTGCAAAACTCCAGTTTCACCCTAACAACCTCACCCACACAGGGCATCTTCCCACTTTGGTCACAGTAAGGTTCCTGCCCCTCTTGCCCAGTTGGTGCTGTTGAGAGCTCAAGTTCTTGGGGTTTTTCTTTAAAACTCTACTCCTGTGACAGATTAAGGGCTATTATTATTTATTTATTTGAGATGGAGTCTCACTCTGTCGCCCAGGCTGAAGTGCAATGGCACAATCTCTGCTTGCTGCAACTTCTGCCTCCCTGTTTCAAACAATTCTCCTGCCTCAGCCTCTCAAGTAGCTGGGACTACAGGCGCATGCCACCATGCCCGGCTAATTTTTTGTATTTTCAGTAGAGATGGGATTTCACCGTGTTAGTCAGGATGGCCTCGATCTCCTGACCTTGTGATCTGCCCACCTTGGCCTCCCAAAGCGCTGGGATTACAGGTGTAAACCACTGCGCCCAGCCAGATTAAGGAATTTTAATCTTTGTCACAAACAGGTGAAAAGAATCAAACAGTAAAGCTGCTAACCAACCTGGGCAACATGGCAAAACCCCTTCTCTACAAAAAATACAGAAATTAGCTGGGCATGATGGCTCGAGCCTGTAGTCCCAGCTACTCTGGAGCCTGAAGCGGGAGGATCTCTTGAGCCCAGCAAGTCTAGGCTGCAGTGAATGGATATAGTGTCACTGCACTCCAGCCTGGGCATCAAAGCGAGACCTTGCCTCAAAAAAATCAAGATAAGTTGCTATGCTGTCCCTGCCCTTTATCTCATTACTCAGGTTGCAGACTTTGCAGCCTGTGAAGGAGAAATCTCAATTTATCAGAAATTAAAAAGTCAACAGCTAGACACGATGGCTCATGTCTGTAATCCCAGCACTTTGGGAAGCCGAGTGGGCAAATCACTTGAGGTTAGGAGTTCGAGACCAGACTGGCCAACATGGTGAAACTCCATCTCTATGAAAAATACAAAAATTAGCCAGGCGTAGTGGCGCATGCTTGTATTCTCAGCTACTTGGGAGGCTGAGGCACGAGAATCACTTGAACCCAGGAGGCAGAGCTACAGTGAGCTGAGATCAAGTCACTGCACTCCAGGCTGGGTGACAGAGCAAGACTCTGTCTCAAAAAATAAAATAAAATAAAAACAAAAATATCCCCTACTGGTAAATTTCACTGGCTTTAATTTTTTTAAATAATAATTTAAAAAAATTTTTTTGGGCTAGATCTTGGCTCACTGCAACCTCCGCCTTCCAGATTCAAGCAATTTTTCTGCCTCAGCCTCCTGAGTAGCTGGGATCACAGTTGCCCGCCACTACGCCCAGCTAACTTTTAATGGGCTTTCACCATGTTGGCCAAGCTGGTCTCAAACTCTTGACCTCATGATCCACCTGTCTCTGCCCCCCAAAGTGCTGGGATTACAGGTGTGAACCACTGTGCCTGGCCCAGACTTCTGATATTTAAAGATCACAAG